TATTTAAATAAACAAAAATATAAATATAGTCTGTCTAATTTACATAAAACGTTCTGATTCAGTTTTAATCAATGAATGTTCATCGAATTATTATTCTCCCACAGCACTAGCTTAGGGCAACATTTTAAAGATCTATATTACTTTTAAATAAAACGCTTTAACGGTTTGAACATGATTTTTAACTTAGTCCCGACGTTTCGGATACTTTGCAGCAGCCGTGGTCACGGGGAGATAATTTTCAAATAAGTTTAACTATTATATATATTGCGTTTTAAACCGAGTTTTATTTAAATGTGTACTACTCTAACTACAGACAGTATTTCATCTATAATTACTTCAATATTCAGTATTCTTAACGATAATATAAAATGTTAATATAGGTAATTAAACTATGAAAGAAAACAACATACAAATTATTTCTTTTGGACACCCACACAAAAAAAAACTGTCCTTGTGTTTTAGGCAAGGTAATATACGATTTCTGTGACGATAGGGTCAAGATGAAAAATTATTCACCAACGTTTTAACTTATCCAGCAACACTGATGATTTTTTTATTATTTGGTACACATGCAAAAATGCATCAGAAAACTTTTTTTTTAGCGTAAACTATTTTAAAGGATTTTCTTATATTTCATAATATTAACACAAGCAGAATATTAACAAATTTCACAAAAAACAATATAACCACGCCGTATTCTATTTATAAGTTATTACGTAAGATTTTATCCACTTTTTTTTTCTTGTGGTATGTTTTATCTGTACTAATATATAAAGCTGAAGAAAGTTCCTGAACGCAGGAACTACGGGTTCGAATTAAAAATTATTTTTGTATTGGTTAGAGGATTTATCGTGGAATACTATAGGCTATAAAACATCGGCCTGTCACTAATACAAGCGAAGATACGGGGGGAATGTGAAAAAAATGTAAATATTATTTATTATGGGTTACCGAGGCGTAACGCTGCAAAAACTGTTCAAGATCCCCAAAAAATATATATGAAAGAATGATTTCTCTTTAAATGATATTTAAAAAAATCCGCGACGCTATATGACTATTTTAAAGATTCACTTGCAAGAACGACGAGAAGAGACGCAGCCGACAGCGTGGCTTAAGTTTTTACATACTATTATATAAACGAATTTGGATGCCCTATATATATATAGATCGGCTTAAATAATATTGCCTCGTCTTCCCGGAACTTTTAACAGCAATATTGAGGGACACAGTTAATCTCGAAACGGTTCCTTATTCCAATCATCTTTATAAGCGACGGGTAAACAAGGCCGCATCTTTAGCTCTCCATATTGTACACAATTAACAATTAGCACCCGACGCGGCAATCTCTCGATAAGAACAACAATAAACACGCGCAACTAACCGCCGACCTTATCACATTTTAATATCAGTCCTTGCAACTGTGATTGTCTTTAACTTGGTGAGTTGAAATAATAATTCGAACCACATAACGATTACGAAGTAAATAAACAAACAACAGATTGAAAAATAGCGCTTGATTTTTTTTTTACGATAGACAAGCGTGAGGTTCACTTGATTGTGAGATACTTCAGCCATATAACATCTAAACAAGACGCGCTGTCGACCTTTTGATATTTGGGAATTCGCGGACTGAAACCGAAACGCGATTACACTTCACAGCTTATTTATATGTAGGCTTTTTACGTGCGGATATGCCTACCGCCAGATTTACAGACGAAGTCCACCATGTTTCGGAAAAATTATAAATTAATTAGAAAAATGTTACACCCGGTGGGAATCGAAACCACGACCCGTTGATTGTTAGACGTATATTGCTACCATTACACAAACGACCCCCAAGATACTGAATCCCGAGGTGCCACTATATACTGGTATACTGTTGTGTTTATTATTTTTCTGGCAATAAACTTTTTTTTAAGCCGTCAAGTGCGTGACGAAATCACGCCAAGGGTTCCGTAGCATAGATTTGGTGAACAAAGGTCGTATTGTCAACTATTCGATTATTGAGTGTTACCTGTTACACTTTATGGAAAGCAAAAAAAAGGAAAACCGTTTGGGAGTTTTATGTGTTGTTATTATAGCATAATAAAATAATATAATACGAAAGTAGTGAAAAATCAAACTCTATAAGTATCACGATTAGAAGTATTATAAACAGGGTCCTATTCCACCGTTTGCTTACGGAACCCAATTAACTGAACAAACAAAAAGAGCAATTATTTTAATTCGTCATTTGTCCTTTCCCAAGTCAATGCCGCCACTAAATTTTACACTATATTACTTGTATAACTCATTACTAACAGAAGGAAACAAAACGTAGGTATATACGTGTGCGATGCCGTCATTACTTAAGAAATCATAAACACAGGATAAAGTCAGTTATTCGCCTATACGACTAGTCTGAGAGTTAGTATCGCGCAACATATACGAAATAAAATTCACTCGCGAGGCAGCAATTGTAGTGATCCTACTGGAAAATGCTTTTGCATATATCAAATGCTGTCTGTAGTTCACGCGAGCAGTACACAATAAAATGAAACACTTAAACGGTTTAAAACGCGAAACGTATTAGTTAAACTATACCGGCGTTTCATTGTCAGTTCAAAATAACTTTAACAAATATATTTCGCGTCTTAAACCGTTAAATTGTTTTATTGAAATATATCAATGTACTTCACAAGTTATCACGAGTGACTTATCCCTTTCCTACTTAACTTTGTTCTATAAATACTACTTTATTTCGTATGTATATATGAAAAGTCTTGTATTGGGAATAGATTATATGACTTACATGGAGATTACGCTGATTCTGATAGTAATTTTGCGCGACTAGACGTATCCCGCTTAACTCCAGCGAACGTGGGTCCAGTGATCGGCTCCGGGGCTTCTCAGGAACGAGTACGTCCTCGTCCCGCTTACCCTTCTTCCATCTAAAGTAATTCGCCATATCCAACTCATCTGAGCAACCGTCAACTATCAACGATACTCCCGCGGACTCGAGCACACCGCGAGGTTAGTTCGCGAAGGCATCTCTTAAAACACTGCGCGATAACATAGTTGTCACGAGTCGGTCTTTTGTTATGCAACGCTGGAGTGTACATGCCCGATTTCCTCGCCGACGCAAGACCGGGAAGCGTCGATGAACTTATCTTAATCAAGAGCTAAACACAATACCAGCGAATCGGCGCCAACATCAGCTGTTGCCCAACTTTTTGACAATAAGCGTGTGACGTCACGAGAGGTACGGTGCGCGCGACGTAAAAATAAATTGTTTCCGTAATTATTGTTCGGCCACGATTTATCTGTTGTCACGCTCGTGCGTCAGTGCGTAAAGGAGTCTATGTACGATTAAGATAGCGATACCAGCCACTTGGGTAATTGAAACAGAGCTGACAGCTAAACGCGTTTTTCCGCGTTCGTAGCGTCATTTTTTTCGTACGATATTCTCGAGAAACGCGTAAGTGTGAACTATGGCCAGTGGTAACATCGCACTATGTTTTCATATGTAATTATAATCTTTGAAAGAAATTACGACTTAAATACAACACTATTAATAACGCTTTAAAAAATCATAGATATTAGTTACCACCGTAAGAAAATGATTTATTTAAACGAATAAAGCCCGCGCAAACTACGGAGCAAATGCCACTTTTTCAATTTACAAAAAAAATAACTAAAATAAAACAGAAAATATAGAATAGAAGTTATAAATCAAAAAATGCTCCGTGCCGTTGCTCTAACCAATTGAGCTACGTGTTCACGACATTTCGATTTTATTTAACTTATTGATTCCCTCTCGAGAACGGAACGCTGGAGATGCCGATTCAAGTCCCGCCCGTGTCATTTTTTATTTCGTTTTACAATAGATTTTTAATTTTTTTATTGACGTAATGCCACCATGTGCATAATAAAAATATCAAAGTTCTCAAATCCTAGATTTTTTAAACAATACTACTCGCATAAACTAAGGCAATAAATACTAAGATAAGATTTGTTTCTTATATACTTAAATGATTATGAAAGAAATATATAATTAGAATACCCCATGTACATCAAAAAATCAATAGATTAAATGTAAAAAATTGTTGTATAAAACACTTTCAACGGATTAAAACGCAATATATATTTGCGAACTCGTTTTTAACTAAGATAAGACCCCTTTGTGACCTGCTGCTGCGAAGCATCCAAAATGGCCGGTCCTAGTTAAATATAAGGTTAGTAATACATTTCGTGTTTAAAACCGTAAAAGTGTTTATTTAAATACTATTTGCGTAAACCACAGACAATACTTAATAATAAGATACACAAAAGCAGGAAAATTAATTGTTATAGATCCTTTATTTCTTTGTGGTCGTCACTAGCGACACGTTAGGGAATGACACAGCAAGATTATAATCAAAAAAATATATGTGCGTTTCTAACGTAGCGTGTTTTTTATTGAAAATAATACGTAATGTAGATTTTTTTCATATCTTTAAACTCCACGTATTTATTTATCGCAGGGCTTTCTTAATAAATTTCGTTACACTAACCACTGAATTCAAGTCAAAAAGGAAATAAATCACGGGTCGCGGGTTCGATCTCCATCGGTCTTACACGTTTCTAATTTGTTTAATTTATAATTTTTCTAAAACACTTCGACTTCGTCTGGAAATCTGGATATAAAGTGGGTGGTAGGAATATCGAAATTCCGTCCGGGTCACAAACCACCGTCTATATCACATTTAATCACGTTTCAATTTCTGTCCGTGAATTTCAGCTCTAAAGTTAAAATAGGTCGACGACACATCTTGTTTAGATGTTATATGGCTGGGGTAATTCACCTCCCATCAAGTGAGCCCCAGGCTTGTCTGTCTTTCTCTATCATGAAAAAAAAAGTTAATGCAATGTTGGAGCATTCGTTTCAACAAACATAACGTTAGTAAAGAAACTGAAAACAGTGATATTATGGGTAAAAAGTGGGTTTTTAGTCCTCAATTATACTGTACAGATCGTTCAATTCAGCAATTTCTGTAACTGCACGAATGGTGAAGGGGTCTACAAGGCCGCTTCACCACTTGAAACGTGCGTATTGCCCCTGGTTCGAATCTGGCCGACCTATCTTGCCTCAGCTGAGACAAAAAATCCCCGGTTTTGTAACTTTTATTTTTATATTTCCATTAAAATAACAAATTTACAATTGCGTTAAAAAACGATAATAATCTTAAACACATGAATGTCCTTTAGAGCAAATATAAAGCACCATCTAGATGTTTTTAGATGTACATAGGTCTCTTTTGGGTGAAGCGCCATCTGTTTTCGTTTTAGGGAAAACTGTGTTAATCGCCATCTAGGACTTGACGCTGAATTTCGAATAGTTACACAACTGTAAAGTTAGGAGGTCAGTACTATCGACAGTGTAATATAGGTATATAAAGAGAAATTTTCTACTTTACTATTTCCTACAAATGATAAAAGATATTTGCGTGACAAGGACAACACACGAGCATTCTAATCTTCTTGTTTTCAGTAATATACAAAATTCAAGAATTGTATGTATTTCGGAAAACAAACGAATATTAATATAAAACTAGTATTTATATTATATAGTTTTGTAAATAAGTTATTTGTACACGATAAACACTGTTGCGTCGAAAGTACTGAAAGATTACATGGTTTTCTGAATGGTAAATTAATTTCGAATAGCAATTTTATATGTACCTTTTGTGGATTGTAAAGACCTTCACTACGATACTATTTCATAGAGTATTTTATTCCACTAAATTTAATACACACAATTCCTTAAAAACGAGGGTTTCCGAATGGGTTTACGAAAATAACATTAAAATATATAAAGCTGAAGAGTTTGTTTGTTTGTTTGAACGCGCTCTGGAACTACCGGTTCGAATTGAAAAATTATTTGTGTCGGTAAGATCATTTATCGAGGAAGTCTATTGGCTATAAAACATCGTCCCTGTGAATAATACAAGCAAAGATAGAGCGAGAAATGTGAAAAATCATTACGTACGTGCACGTTTTCGCGTTTGCGAAAACGGTTTAAGATACCCAAAAAATTTGTATGAAAGAATGATTTCCCTTTAAACGATCTAAAAATAGTCCGCGACGCTGTGTCTATCTTTTAAGATAAACCTGCAAGAACGACGGTAAGGGACGCAACCGACGTCATGGGTAACACAGCTTAAGTTTAGAAAGATAAAGGCGTTTGCCAAAAACGAATTTCGATGCCCAAAATAACAATTCTCGCGAGCAAAGTCGCTGACACAGCTAGTAACATAATAGGACAAGAAGTAGTTTATCTTGTTCGACTAACTACACTACCAACAAATTTCATCAATAAGATTCAGCCGTTGGAGCGTGAAAGAGTAACAAACTTTCGCATATATAGTAAGATTTCTATAGCTTACCGTTCGCCGTCTCTCTGCAGAATCTGACGAACCAGGACCGCCGGGAGTTGATGGTCTACCCCTGAACATCTCCATCATCTTGCTTATAGCACTGGGCCGCCGCGAAGCTGGTACCGTGATGGTATGATAGTACTGTAAAAACAAATACCTTTAACCAGTCGTTCATGTACTATCAGTAAAATGAGATAATAATGTTTTATGCTATTTCACCCTTAAATAGCCTTCTATGTAGTGGCAGCAGTCCGAGTATCGAACCCCAGGGGCGAGGTATACAACACAGTACATACAACAAATGCATGTTTATTAAGAACTTGTAGAAAAAATATTTTTTGATTCTTAGTTTATTTGTGTGTATGTGAATACATGATTTTTAACTTAGACTTTTATAAGTACAAAAAAAAAGTTATGGTGAATTTTTTTACCGGGGGTTTGATCACCAACCGGGTCAAACAAGTTTGATTACGTCTCGAAAACTGGTTACATGATCAAAGGTGATCTTGTTTGAAACTGTCACAATATTTGTTGATTAAAAGAAAATTGATTAACCCGTGTGTCACTTCCTGGGTGTGGATGTGCAGAACCGTCTTTGGCTTTGTTACTTGCTGGTGTAGAAGATGATGCACCATCCGTCGTGTCGACTATTTCTGTTTTGATGCTAGATCTTTCAGATTCTCTCGTATTGGATTTAGTCATGTTCTAGAACAAATACATAGTATTACACTAAAGAATTTACTTCAGATAACTACGATTCCCCGTGACCACGGTTGCTGCAAAGTATCCGAAACTTCGGACCATAATTACGCCTAATATATCAGTAGTATACAGACTGGTAAGATACATTTTTAGTAATTTTTCTCTTCTGTTTCACACAAACTTATTTTTAGAAAACTTTATTTGTGTCAACAGATTATTTCTATTGACTTATTCTATGATAGAGTATTGCAGTACATAGTTATATTTTAAATAATACACTTTAACGGTTTAAAACGTGAAATAAATTAGTTAAATTATTAGACCAAACGTTTTGGATGCTTCGCGGCAGCCGGGGTCAAGGGAAAAATAATATGATTACTATTATATTTCGCGTTTTAATCAGTCAAGTCATATTCATACAGTCAAAGGTCATATTTTTACTTATATCTGCACTAAAACGTGTATGTATTTTTTGAGGCAGTCATTTATACCTGGACAGCCGCCTTAAACTGCTGCATCATTGTTGGCTGCTTCTTCGCGTCACCGCGTTGACGAGATTTGAAAATATCAAACAGCGCTGGCCTTCGGCTCACCCCGGATGTTCCTGAAAGAAAATGTGCAAAATCTCATCAATTATTAATTCTTAGGACGTTTTAACGAATTAATGACCCAAAAGGGAGCACGGGTCTACTGTCTAATAGGGGAGAGGGTTCACGAACTGAAACCCACCACCCTATACAGCACCAGGTTGATGGGCTTTAACGACTACCACCGCTAGACTCTCCCACTCAGAAAATCGGAGTAAACGTGAAGAAGCTACTGGCTTATTATAAATGCGAAACTAAACTAATATGTATTATAAATGCGAAAGTTACTATGTCTGTCTTTCCGCCTTTAACTCCAAAACTACTGAACTGATTTAAATGAAATTTGGTACACAGATATTTTAGAGCCTGAGAAAGGACATGGGCAAGCTTTTTAAAAGCCAAAAATGTGGTTTTTGAAGTTAGAACAATGAAACTTTCGTAACGTAAACTAATAAACAGCCTAAATAATAAAAAAATCTATCCCAAGTCACTATTCCACGCGGACGAAGTCGCGGGCACAGCTAATATTGTATAAGTAACAGATACTACTCCACCAAACTATATGTGGTACCCCCCAAGTTTCTATAAATTAAATAAATTTGGATTATTACAGAAATATTACCATGTATGGTCTGTTGGTACAGCTGATGAGAATGCCCATCGTCAGCAGAGGCTCGTCGTCTGCGTTCCCCGACAGATTGAGTGCTCCGTGTTATGGCGGCGTCTAATCTTTGCTCTGTATAAGAAATATTTCAATTACAGACTCAATAACTATCGATATAAATGGTACAGATTAAAAAATACTAATATCTTTTAAATTAAGAACAAATTGTAGAAATTTACTATTGGTCCTTCTTGGTTCCTACAAGAAAACTATACACAAAATTAACAATGTACAAAACATTCAAGGTGTAAATTTACACAATGAATAAATAATTATTTTAGTAACTTCTTTTAAAAATAGTAAAAAAATGTTTTTTTTGTGTGTGAAATCCCGTTTCCCCTCGTGGGGCATAGGGCGAACACATTTCTGTGTCCGTTTCGCTGATCGGTTTTATTTACAGGCAAGTAGATCAGACTTCTGCGCCCTGCCCGACCGAAACAATTTACCGAAAGATGAAATATCTCAGCCATACAACATTTAAACAAGATGGCCTGTCGACCGACTTCAGCTTTTGATATTCGGGAAGTAACAGACTAAAATCGAAATGTGACCTAAGAGAGCGTTAAGCGTATTAAACAATCATAAAACGCTTTTTCACAAACATACTGGACCTGGTGTAAATCGAAGACACGACGCATAGCTATAGAACAAACAAGCTCGATAAAAAGGTATTTAAATTAAAACACTAAGTACACACTTTGTGAATTCGTGTCAAAGACATAAGTAAATATTTAGAAGGGCCGTTTGATTTATGCGATTGTCGATGCAAGAATTATCGGCGGGTCAACTAGAATGCCAATCGTTAAATTGTAAACGCATTGAAACGTTCTAATAATATTCTCTAGAAATCGCAACCTTTAACCATCGACGATTCGCCTATTAAATAGCTCTCAAAATAGCCTAGTGTTTACCCCACTTCATTATACATAATTATTTTGCATCTTCATAGCAAGTCGTAAATGCAAATTCTTGCCTTGCCATATATTACAAATGTACCATGATTTGTACACCTGCATGTTAAGCATTAAGAATCTATTTAAATAAAACACAGCAGCCGTGGTCACGGGGAGACGGCTGCTGCAAAGCATCCGAAACGTCGGGCCGAAGTTATAAACCATTTTCAAATAAGTTTAACTAATATATTGCGTTTTCAACCGTTAAAGTGTTTTATTTAAATGTTTTTGACATGATATATATCGAATTTCCGACCGGTTAAAAAAAGGAAAAGTTAGAGCAGCAGCAAAAATCGCTGTAGGTACCGGTTCGAATCTCGCCTGTGTCTATTTCAATTAAATAAACCTTTACTTACTATTAATCTACCAAAGATCCTCTCTTGATTACATCCCAATAGTTACGAACTTTAATTCTGTTTTAAGTGATAGATAAAAATAGAATGAGCGGACTATCTTTTGTTTATCGTGTCGTCATTTGGGGCCAACCCGTTAATTACGTTTCACGTTAACAATGAGACCGAATAGTCGAAATGTTTTATGCGTGACAGAATAACTAAGAAAGAGCATACAAATGCGATAACTTCTAGACTTATTGTTAAATATGTGACGTCACATCATATAGGGAGGGAGTCTTACCGATGTGACCGGTTACAAGGAGGGGATAAGTCGTGCATACCCGTACTTAAATCTATACTTATATATAAAGCTGGTGAGTTTCTTTGTTTGTTTGTGACGGCTAAGTCTATAAAGATGAAGAGGAGGTTTGGAAAAATCAACTTGAATGCCCATTCTTTGCGGACGAAGTCGCAGGCACAGCTAGTCAACATACAAAACTCTACAGTCAGTAGATTTAAGTGTACGTATTTATCCACATACATATTGCGCAACGGAAGCTATCAGCTGTTGTTTAGCTCGGACTACAACTTTACATCCGTACCATTGATAAATGTAGTAAACAATAACATTAGGCATGTTGACAGATTGATACGTAAACGGTACCTACTGATACACATTACATAATATCGGTTGTAAAATAATTATGATCAAGGCTATGGTTGGTCGTAGTGATGTCATTGTATATATTTTAATGGGTTCTTAATTCAAACGCAAGCTAGGGTGACAATTTTAAATGCTTGTGTTATGTATACTAATGTATATAAAGCTGTGTTTGTTTGTTTATTTGAACGCAGTAATCTCAGGAACTACTGGTTCGATTTGAAATCATTTTTGTGTTTGAGAGCATTTATCGAGGAAGGCTAAAGGCTATAACACCGCGCTGTAACTAATAGGAGCGAAGAAATTACTCATCTCCTTGGATGTCTACGCTGCAAAAACGGTTCAAGACACCCAAAAAATATGTAGGAAATAATGATTCCCCAATCTCCAAAATAACTATTCTACGCGGACGAAGTCGCTGCCACAGCTAGTGTTAAAAATAAAAACACTAGATAATTCTAAATACAAATTTACATAGGTAAAAATCTATGGAAAATAAGAAATAGGTCGTGGGTTCTTAGCCAACACGTTTCTTTAACTTGTTTCAGGACATTCAGGTCTGAAAAATCTGTACATTAAGTGGGTGGAATTAATCGAAATTTCATCTACAATAGGAAAAGACGTGGGTGTGTTTCAGTCTGTGTCTACAAACAAGATAGTAAAATAGTGAGTTTTTCACAATCCATGAAGTGAACCCCGTGCTTGTCTATCCTTATTTCTCATCATCATTGTACAAAATCAGATTTTCACTGTGAAACTCACCGTTTTTTAACGATTTTTGCTAACTTTTACCACAATAAAAAAAATTGCACGAGAGGGGTCGATGGGGGACTTCTCCAGTCCTTTATAGTAGTATTCTTAACATTGATACCAATATTTAGCTCTAAGAGAATTATAAGCTTAAAAGTCTAATTAGACTTGATTGTCCGTTCTGTCATATAAATGGAAGTGCGTATGGTCTGAAAGTGAGTCGCGGCCCTAAATGAAACTTGGCACGAATCCAGCAAAGCGCACCTAACGCCAATAATATTATGTAGAAATAACACAAGCATCACTAAACCATCATAAGGTTACTCTTCGACGATAATAAATCTAAAAATATACGCAAAACAAACATTTGCTATCCGAGAAGCAATTTCGAATATAGCACATTTAACACATCACAAATTATACGTATATTAAAGAAGCGAAGCCTATTATGATTTCACTTCTATAATATCCGTATAATTTGTAAATATCAGCTGAAGATTTTGTTTGTTTGAACGGGATAATCTCAAGAATTACTTCATCGAATTGAAAAATTATTTTTGGGTCGGTTGGAGCGTTTATTGAGGAAGGCTTTAACGTATAACATCATGCTGATTCTACGCACCTATTGGAGAGCGAAGAATCAGTGGGAAATGTAGAAAAAACAGGGAAAAAGATAAACTCACAAGAACTGTTTCTATGGTGATTAATTTTAGTCGAAAAAACTTCCATTGGCAAAAGAATGTTTGCCAGGTCAGCTAGTTCTTTATGCTTATATCTGTAGCACGTAAGCATACGTCAGGTATACACGTATTCGTTAGTTTTATTATACCGTAGTAAATAACACAATACAAAAAGATTTTATTCTACCGTTTGAAAAAATATCCACGAAATATTTTTGGCAAACCTTTTTTGTAATTCGACTCTTGTTTACACTAGAGCCGGACTGCATTGTGTGTATTTAAAAAACGAATACGCATAGAATACAGCTTATTTATTTTCGTATTTACACAAAAGTAATTCGCTGGACGAGGATTTTCATAGAAGCATTTGCGATACAATAATAGGACCAACGACAAATAGTCAGCACGTTCACCTGTCAGGCTGTCTCGCATTAACCGTGATAGTTATCTAAGTGAAAACAAACAAATCATGTTTATTTAAGAGAAAACAAGTACTAGAAAAAAATAACAGAACGAAAATACATAGTTTCCGTGTTCGCTTGTGCTTAAGATTTACTCGCGTCGGTTTTTTTTCAATTTAGCATAAAACTTTTACCTCTTTTCTGCCGTCTGTCATCACTGCTCCGTCGTATTTCCTTTATTTTCGGAACGTCATTTATTTTTATTATGTCCTTATCTCTACGAGATTGCGAACCCCAAGTCCCGGATCGTACACGCACAGGTTCGATTTCTTCGCTGACCTTTAAAGCTTCCACAGCATCTTTTGACGTTTTATCAATTGTTCCTTTTTCTTTGTGCGTAGTAACCTGGAAAGGGTATTAATAAATAGCTAACATCTAAATAAGTTTTAAGCGCCCACCACGCTGCTCCAGTGCGGGTTGACAGACTTAACAACTACTTACTAAGAAGTCGAAAATAGAACTAACATTTCACTAGACCCGTAATTCGAACCAAAGCATTGCGGGTTCTATCCCTACCGGGTCTAAGATGTTTCTTGTCAATTTATAATTTTTCTGATACATGTTGGAAATCTAGATAAGAAATGGGTGGTGGTGAAACTTTCGATTTCAGTCTGTGAACTACCGAATAACCTAAGACAACATAACATACGTCACATATTGTTTACATGTTATATGCTTGTCTGTCCCCTTCTATCATACAAAAGAAATTAACATACCGGTTTGTCACTGGTTCTCTTAACCCAAATATCTTCTGAGCTTGTCGGCACTCCATCTACTGTCGAACGTATTTCAATTAAACTACTATCGAAATAATTTTTGTCGCGATGGAGATTCTCACCAGCGAAGATCGATCTGACGCTTGGTCTCAGCTCCTCCGCACCCTTGGTGCCAAAATGTACTGTATGAGCGTTATTCACATGTTTACGAAACGCACGTTCTAGCTTCTGAAGCGGAGGCTCCGCTGTCGTCACCAGAAACTTATGCTTCGCACCCATTACTGTTCTTTTAGACGGATCGTCTCCGTTGTTCTTATTGTTTCTTTCGGCAGGACTGTTATCGTCTACTTTATGTACATGTTTCGCTGGAGATTTCTTGTTGTCATTTTTATTGGCATCATACATTTTGGACGGTGAATTCGAATTGGAATTATCTTTCTTATAATCGTCCTCGTCTTCTTCACGGCATTGGGACAAGCGGCGTCTCTCATTATAAGGGAAGGGCGAGTTCGAATTTCGACTGGACAGATTGTTACAGTGGTTCATAAAATAGTGTTGGAAAAAACTATCAGTTTCAGGAGTATCGTTGCCGTCACCTTGAATTATATCCTTTAAAGCGGCTAAGGATGTGATGGTATTGTAGTTAATTGCGTTGACTAGATCCTCACTGTCAGTAGAGCTTGGCGATCCGCTGATGTTTAGAGGCGTCTCATCTTGGTTATCTTTATCACGGACCGCGCCATCCTCTTTTGTCTCCATTTTCTTTTTCTTTTCATTCTTATTTCTTTTAGTCTTTTTCTTTGTGATGATTTGGTTGTTATCGGTATCCATTGGACAACATATGTTTAAACACGGATATGCAAAAGTACACTATTCGATTATGCGGGCGAAAATTACATATTAAAACTAGGTAATTGTGATATATTGTGATGTTTTGGCGAATTTTAAACTTTACATCATCTCATCGCTGACATTCTTATGAAATTGCTATGTGAGCAGCTTATATGCATTTCAGCAATCTGGAACAATTAATTTTTGTATTACACAACAATTGGAAAATATTAAACCTGCAAAAGTAAGGCGCAAGCGCTACAAATACGAAAATGCATAGTATTAGTTAGATTCAGTAAAGCATGTATATACCTAGTTACATTAATTATGTTTTTTATGAATACTTATCTACGGATTTTAAACGTAAGTACCTGGTAACTCATATAATAAAATGCATGTTTAACATCGTGGGCCGATGCTTATCACCTAGTAAATTACGTAAGAATGTCGATTACGCTTAACTCTTCAGATTCTACTTTAACCGTACATATAATTTGTTTTTAGTACAATATATATACATTTAATCTGTCTTAATTTGAAACAGAATATTATTACCACTGCTAAAATAAATCAGCAATAATTTAAACAATTGAAATGATTGTTAACTTGACATCAATTAAATCCATATCCATTTATCGGACGAACACAATTCTGTGTACGTTTCACTGATCAGTTTTATGTACAGGCAAGTAGATGACTTCCAGGCCCTGCCCGAACGAAACAATTTATTGTTTTATCGGGATTGGAAACCACGACCTCTCGCAGTTAAAACAATGCTAGTCAACTTGTTTAACCGATTATCTATAGAAGTGGACACTAATCAACTTAAAAAACCAAAATGAAATATTTACTATTTACACAGTTTCTGTGTAAATAATAAATAACCATAATATAGTTTTGCCATAGCTATGGCTAGTTATAATTTAAACACTTGGAATGCGTTGAAAATCATCTAATTCTACACACAGTATTCATACCGTATCAATAATAAACTTGCATACATCATTACTATGGTGACCTTTTCCTTGAAATATAAGGACATAGGCTAATTAGAACCATAAAGGAAATTGAACTAAAAAGTAAAACTTTAGTTGTCTGATAGTAGAACAAAATACACTAAAAGTGTGTGTTACAAGTATGTTTGTATACACTAAACGGTTATTGTACATTGTCTGTTGTGATGGTTAATATGACTGGAAATAGCCAACTTATCACTCCATGTAATGTGTTTAATCAACAAGCAGTAAGATAATTGTATCTTTGCGGAAATTGCTCTCTGATTGTTTACTTGATTTAAGTTTCTTTCCAAAAAGGCAGAATGTATATGACAATACTTTTATCACATTCCAAGATTTCACTAAACCAATTGTAGAATAAAAATTAACCATAGTAAATGTCCATATTTCTTCATAAAGTGTTAGCACAAATCAAGTGTGTGTTTGTTTAGATAAAAGATAATAAATATCTAGAAAGACTTACAACCTAAAAGGTCAATTAGTCTTATCACAAGCAATGGCATGCTGCATAAACAATATTTAATATAGTTTACTAGTGTATTCACTCTAAAAAGACGTAGTTTCCTCGCAAAAACAAGATTTACCTTTATTACTATTTTCTATTAGACACTGAGAGTTGACCGGGTAAACTATACCTACTAACCAGTTTACCCATGTCTCTATTCCCCCTTAAGCTTAAAAGGAGTTTAATTAAAGATATATGTTACATAGTATTATATGTTACTATACAGTCCACAATTTGAAAAAAAGAAATTTTGATATTTCAATGCACATTTGCAGGTTTCCTAACGAAGACTCAAACGTAACGGAAAGTTTTTGAAACATGCAATACCTGGTTTGGCTCAAACCCCCTTGTGATGGTTACATACACTGTCATTATTTGACCAACAAGCCTATCAATTATAATTCTTCTAGAATATGTTTTGAGCTTTCAAGATTATCATCAACATTATAATCATGCTACAAAAACTGACTACTGGCTTATGCATCTAGTTTTGCAATTTAAGATGCCCTAAGAAAGGCTTGAATTTAAAATTTAGGTCACACATGCTCAGATATAATTAAATACATAGTACTATTATTTATATATTGTTACAAACATGAACATGTTACTGCTTGTTATCAAAACCATTGGAGTAAAGCTTATTAGAACAAAATAATTGTCACAAAATGTAGGTTTTGTAATCATTGTGCAATTAAATCATTTGTTTACTGAAGTCTAGAGCCAGAAATTGTCTAAATAGAAATTCTTATGATACTATACGATTGTGTTTTGGTTGTTATTTATGTTAGAAATTGGAAAAGTTAGTATTAGAGTATGTACTATGTACTACTATGCTGCTTCAGTGGAAATATATAAATTCCCTATGAAATATATTAAGCAAAAAGCAATCATTATTTATATATGCTATACTGACACAATACTACGCAGACGAAGTTAAAGAAATGGAAAGAAAACCGTTGAGTAATTAAGTGATCTGTTGGACAACAAACCGTAAGTACTAAAGAAGATATTATATTTAGTACACATTTTCATCGCATATTTTCCCAGGTGCTTAAGTCATTATTAGTAAATATAAGAAATTCTAATGTAAATGTAAGAAAAATTTACAAACGGGTAATCAAATTGAAAAGTCGACACCAAGCACATATAATAATTATTATTACACGAACTCCAAAGCTTAACTCACACTTCACCAACACAACACTTCACAGTCGCGAGCCTGCACCACAGACTTAAGCTACTGACGGCTTATTAGAGTGACAGTTGACTATATGTAAACATGACGTTGGCAGATCTACTTTGAAATACAGAGGGACATTGGAAAAGTCTCGTCCTTTGCCCTTGTGATATAGTTACAAAAATAAATAATTTTCTATTATCTATAACGATAGAGCAAACGTATTAAAATTCATATTCGTCGTTGGCTGTAAAGGGCAAATTATAAATGTACCATCTGTGGGTATGTGGGTATATCTGTGCAGTGTATGGCTCTAATCCACAGCTCTACCTTTGCTATTTTAGAAGAATCTAGAATTTATTAGAGATTGGCTGAGTACTCGGTTGATACTCGGTACTCTGCGTACTCGGCGGGTTTTTGATACTAAAGCCGAATAACTCAGTTATTTGATAATGAGTATACTTTTTTTTAAAGCTATCTGTTTAGGTAGATAAAATTTAAACAATAGTGTTAACTCAAAAGTAGTTATTTAGTGATTTAAGAAATCTTTGAGTATCTCAATTATTGAAATCAAAACTATGCTAATAAAAGATGGTAAAGAAAAAGATAAATGATGATAAAAGATGCTAATGAAAGAGTAGTTATGAGATAAAATACGAGAAGAGATGAGAGCGAGCCGACGTCTTGACCGGCGCGAACTTGTTTGTACTTGTTTACTCGGTTAGTTACTCGGCAGAGTACTCGGTTGAAAAAAAATGTAACCCAGTAAAACTCGGTAGTCGTTACTCGGCAAAAGTATCACGGCGCATCTCTCGAATTTTTCTATGCTCCGCTTCCGTTTCGACCTCGTGCTGCTGCATTGCTGAATACTGTACCGTTTACGATTAACACATTTGGAGTACGGAGGACAAAGGTATTTATTGTAATATAAGATTTAATCATTTTTGTTTATTGTCGTATAAAATGCTATTAAAATTGTGTTCAATCTTATCAGTTCTATGCGGATAATTCAATAGTGCTTTGTCATTAAGAAAGTTATCGGGTTCTAACAGCGAAATTAATGTTAAGAATTGTTTAGTATTCGTTGGTTTAGTTTATATTCGCTCGGCAATAAAAAAACGGCAACTAGTATACTGACAAGTCCACGCCGTAATTTAATTTTTCCCAGAGATCTTCTTGTGTGACTTTGAACCACATGCTATAAAAAACTTAGAACAGGAAATAAAACATCTCAGTCTCCTATAGTTTTGTAGAGAATTTGTTTCTCAATTTTAAATACTTGTTATTGTTTTAAAGTAAAAATGTGTTAGACGGAACAATTGTTAGATATGTCGTGCAAGCTCAGTCCTGGAGGTGGAATGGATATATATTAAAAAAACACTCACTTCATACTTTCAGATATATTTATTTATTTACACTATTTCACTTTATTTTACTTTTTGGCACGACTTGGGGCCTATGTACTGAAAGGTCTTTCAATTCTGCTATCGGTTTTGTTTCGGACAACATTCGTGCATAATTCACTTAGTGCTCAGATTTCAAAAAAAAAAACTTGTAAGATCGGTTAGACAAAGATAAAAGTGACACATCAAATATGCACAAGAACACTTCGTAATCAAAGGCGATTTTTTTAACTCTTTAGAAAATATAAACCGCAAATAAAACAATAAATAGGATATAGAAAAACAGTAAAAGAGCTAAATGTATACTGTTACTACGAAATAAAACTTTGATTGTATATAAGAATAATTCACATTTTTTCAGTTTAAGAAGTCAGCTTAAATTGGTTTAAAAAAAGTAATTTTAAATAATCATTGAAAAAATCTCATTCTATATGTGGCTGAAATATTTAATAATTTTTCTGTATTTTATTCCTCTACTTTTTATAAAATTCTCTATAAAACTATTCCGGGAAATTTTGAGTGTTGCCTAGTGTAATTGTTAAAAAAATTACTATCACTTATGAAACATTCATTCCTGTAAGCTAATAAGAACATTTTTGCAGGTAGTTGAGACATGATTGGGTTAATTCTGACCTTTTTAAGCTGGATTGGCCTAAGTCCAGTGCCAATCCTAGCACATCTTATCGGTACAACAGAACCAGCCCTTAGCCTTCTGATATCAATTTTATTGGGCTACCCACTAGGCATTATTTACAACACAGTGATTAAACAACACAAAAAATATAGAAACATTTATTTCATTGCAACTGGAGTAGACCTTGCCATCTTTAACTTTGGTCTATCTTTCCTTCACAATGCCATACCTGCAATTGTAATTTATATCACTACTTTGTGCTTTGGCCCTGGAAAATGGAATGCGATAATAACATTCTTCTTCAATATGATCTATTTATTAATTGGTTATGCAATGACTGAATCTGAAGACTATGATATAACATGGACTATGCCCCATTGTGTACTGACCCTAAAATTGATTGCCCTCTCATTTGATATGTGGGATGGTGCTAAAATGAAGAAGGGGAAACAGTTATCAGCTACCAACCAACAAACAGCTTTATTGAATACTCCCAATATATTGGAGCTATTTGGATTTGTATATTTTCCTGCTTGTTTCCTAGTTGGCCCAATATTTTCATTCAAACGCTACAAGTCATTTGTGTCTGATGAGTTTCCAATAGAAAATGAATCAATGAGTCTGGAAAACCATGCTATGAAACGGCTTCTGCAAGGTTTAGGTTACCTGACTGCTTTTCAAATTGGAGGTAAGCTGTTTTCAAAAATTACTTTAATGTGCAGGAACTCAAGTTTTTTATTAAGAAATGTGGTTACTAAGCCTCCATTAAGATAAATTGCAATAAAGTTCAAACAGGTTTCATTTAATTTTGACATCTATTAAGGGTATGTTTATTTGCAGTTACCGTCTTTAATGTGAAATATATGATATCCGATGAATTCTGGGAGACATCTATATTCTACCGACACTTTTACTGTGGCCTCTGGGCGCATTTTGCTCTGTACAAATACATTTCTTGTTGGCTACTAACAGAAGGTAAAATTTTAAAGTGTTTTCTGCTGGCGTAACTTTAAACTCATTTTTTTTTATTTGAAGCTTTGATCTTAGTTTATAAGTATTATAATTGATGTGCTTTTGCGTGTACTACAAAAAAATATAAATAATCCAATTAGTTATCTAATTTTGTCTGGGACATTATTTGTGTAAGGTAATTAACACACAAAGGATTCTTAAATTACCTTGTAACAAAATCTTATGTGTAAGTTTCAAATTATGCTATTAATTGAGTTCACAGCGAACTGACTTTATATTGTATGTATAACATATCTACAATCCATGCAACAGTAAATAATTAATGTAGGTAATCAAATTTTAATAGGTACATAGATTGTTTATTATTACTGTACCATTTACATACTATGTACATTGTGTGTTTTATAAGAATAAAACAATGCGGTATATTTAAAATCCTTTTCTCTTTTAGCTGCGTGTATTCGATTTGGCTTATCTTATAATGGAACAGAAAAAACAGAAAATGGAACAGTATCAAAGTGGGATGGGTGCAATAATATCAAACTCCTTCGTTTCGAGAGCGCAACCAAATTCCAGCACTATATTGAGAGTTTCAACTGCAACACCAACTTCTTTGCTGCTGAATATATTTACAAAAGATTGAAGTTTCTTGGTAATCGCCACCTCAGTCAGTTCTTTACATTGTTCTTTTTAGCACTTTGGCATGGTCTTAGGTCTGGATACTATATGACCTTCTTCAATGAATTTATTATAATATACATGGAACGTGAACTAGAAAGCCTTATTTCTAAGACTCAATTATATGAGAAAATGTGGAATTCTTATTTAAAAGGAGTTCTTTATGTTCTTCTTAAAATGTATACTATAGTGTTCATGGGCTGGAGCTTAGCCCCATTCGATCTCAAAATATTTTGGAAGTGGTGGCGTGTGTATTATAGTTTATATTTCTCCGGGTTGTTGCTATTCGTCCCATGGGCGTTTGTTTATAAACCCCTTATCATTATGGCTATAAAAAAGTATTGTAAGAATAAGGACAAAGATTCAATAAAAGCCGAATAATCTTACTGTCCGTCATACTTATTATAATGAACAAAAGTGCATGCACGAAAATAATTATAAAATAGAAACTTTAAAATTAACTTAAGCATGTCTAGATTGATTGAAATAAACTTATAGATTTCATAATAGTTGAGCATGATAGTAGTAGTAAATATAATTCAGTAGCTGTGCCAGCGAATTCGTCCGCTTAGAAGAGTTATTTATGGCATCAACATTTATTATTGTAAACCGAGGTCTGCATAAAAAAAAAATTACTCTCACAATAACTATTTTACGCGGACGAAGTTGCTGATACAGCTCGTGTGTAAATATTGTTTCTAATTTGGATTAAACTGCACGATTAATTATTCCCTCTTTTTTATTATAAGATAGAAATTTCAATTGTTTTAAGTGCTAATCAGCCTTAACATAACCAACTGATTATTTCTTTCTTGAGTTTCTTGTAATTATTTAAACAAAGTTACCAAATTTAATTTACGAAAGCTATCTATTTGAAGGCGGCTTACGTATCTTACTATGAAAATATCGAAAATAATTCGGTTAAAAGATTTCTAATAAAAAAAAAAACTATAAATTTCAATCTTTCTAACTTGCTGTCTGTACTGATATTATAGATAGCTAATGAGTTTGCTGCTAAAGGTGTTAAAAGTTTTTCTTCCAATTTCTCTGTTTGCTCAATACTGTGTAAAGTTTTTTTTTGATAAAACACATGGCAGTCACTGTTATATATGTTAGAGATCATTTTGAAAACAGTAATTAGTTTTAAGTAGTTAGGAATAGGAAGAATGCTATTTGTTGTAATCATGTTGAGTTTGTGATATTAGTTGGCATGAAAAAAGCGGCATAAAATTTGTTACATTGTGTAAAATAATGTTTATTTATGTATATAATGTGAAGTTTAGATTAGTAATGTCAAGTCATACATAAATGTTGAAATTGTAAGATAATGATGACATATTTTTTCTAGATATTGTTGAAAAAAATGTTCAGAGAATACAAAATGTGTCTTAATAATTATATGATTAGCTTCTATTTTTCAAGTTAAGTATGTCTAGTCACATAAAAGCTATGCCAGAAAATAGAGCGAAAATAATGAATAATATTGCAAACCCCAAAACTACGAAGTGTTAATTAAAACAATATTGTTTATCATTGTGAATTGAAATTGCTCAAATGAAGTATGTTTATATTATCGCCTATGCCCCGCGGCTCTGCTCGATTTTTCTACGTTATATTTTAATTTAAACGGAAAATTTACAATAATTGCATACTGTCGGTATCGGGCGAGGGTGTTGTTGCCATTAGGTGGCGGCATTGAAATACAATTCTATAAACCGTAAATGGCTTAGTACTGTTCGCACAGCTATTTAACATCGCGTTTCTTCAAGGAATTGAATTCCTTTGAAAAACATACGCACACTTATTTTAATACCATTAGTGAGAGTAGTCGCAAAAAGAATCTTTTAAGCTGCTGATCATTACAAAAGCGCCATCTAGTGTCATTAAAATATGTGAATTTAATAATTAAGCTGTGAATGAGTAACGAAGTCAATTTTGGAAGAAAATTTATTATAGTAATGTGCGTTTCGAATAATAGTGCATTTGTTTATATCCTAAGAAACTAGTAACTCACATGTTTTGATAAAAAAATAGCAAATTTTACTCTGCTTTTCTTGCTGTCTGTACTTTTAGATTGAACTTGTTCTATCGTGTCCATAGTCATAAATACTTATTCGAAACGCATTGTATCTATATTACTAGCTGATGCGTTGCAGTCTAGTTCACTTTTGATCTTGTTTAGAAGTTGGACTGCGATTAGCCTTAAGTCTTGACGGTCTTTCTTATAGACAACATGGAACGATCTTATATATTACGAATCATGTAAGTTGCTGAATGCGGGCATTAGCTAACGTATGACATAAGTTTGAATTTAAAACACCTTTATAATACTTAGCGCCGCCTATATATTGCCGAAAGTTTCTAGTATAAGTGTGGGGTTGCTTGTAGAAGCTTATGAGGCTGTTTAGAAAGAACACATTCTCTTCGACAATAAAATTTCGATTTGAAGTGTGTTATAATAAGTTCAAAACATTTTCGGCGTAGGCAGCGACATAGTTGCCCAGTGGTATTATTGTACAGTCATAATTATAACATAGTCATATATACAACCTGTAAATCTGGGTACGGACTAAAAGCTCGCAATCTCACGTAAAATTGCATATTGACAATTCTTACAGCCTATGGATTACCGTAGCCTTTATTCGGTACCCAGCTATAGAAGTGACCTAAGGAACATTTAAATCTAATACGATAATCAAATTGTTTTAATATATACAACGTTTATTTGCCAATGAATAATAGTTAAATAAAGATCTACAATAAAACAATGTGTTTTAAATATATATCTGGTATAACGACAAATAATTTTAGTCTCATTGAAATCGGGTTAGGACACTGACACAGGTCGATCACTACGAGAAATGCCATAATTTGATTCTTCATCAATTTTACTTATATAATAATTAAGTGTTATAACTAAAACAGTTAAGCTAAAGCCCTAATTGATGTACTCAATGTTGAATCACCTGTTGAAAATATCTTATCTTGTTTCCCAATGATCAATGGTGAAGGCTACAAATGTGGAACGATTGAAAAACCTCACTGAGTTCGACATAGAGCCAAGATCAGTTTAGCCGTTTCATAATGTCGACTTGTGGTGGGCGTGGGAACGTACAGTTGTAGCCAATCCAAACCAACACACCGTATTGATCCAATAACGCCCAAAGGATCTATTCTGCATTTGTTATAAGTAGCATATTTAAAAAAGACAAAGAACGACGAGCTCGTTCTTCTAATGGTAGGAATATATTGCTGTTATTCAACGGGTATTGGGTCCAACATGTTTTTTATCAAATTATAATTTTTCTGAAAATTCACAGATCAAAAAAAAAAAATGTTATCGCGATTCGCTATCAGTCTGTATTTAGGACAATCCAAAAACAAGACTGAGGTACTCTACCTCCCATCAAGTGAGCTTCATGTTTATCTGCCCTTCTATCTAACATAAAAACTGAATTATACCGTCTTTTTTTAGAAGTAACAAAAACTACATGATCACAAAAATAAGACTTAATAGGTCACACAATTCGATATAAAATATATATATTTGTTAATATATTTTACTACTACCCCAAATTCACGTTTTATAAAATCCCAGGGGGGATTGAAGACGGTAGGAATCCGAAACGATGGGTCATAGTTAAAACTTCATTTCGATTATTATAGCTATACTATAAAGCTGAAGAGTTTGTTTAAAAGCGCTAATCTCAGGAGCTAGGGTTTCGAATTGAAAAAATATTTTTGTGTTAGAGCATTTATCGAGGAAGGCTATAGGCTATATATCGAGCTCTGCTATATAGAAGCGAGAATATAGAGAGAATTTTTAAAAAAAAAAACGGGGGAACTTATTTATCTCTCTGAGTTTGCAAAGCGTACGCTGCATAAACCAAAAAAAATGTATAAAAGAATGATTCCTGTTTAAATGATCTAAAAAAAAGTCCGCGACACTATATGTCTATCTTTTAAGATTTACTTGCAAGAACGACGGGAGCCGAACCATGAGACGCGACCGATGTTGTGAGTAACAGTTTAATTTATAAAGATGAAGTATAGGTTTACAAAGAACAAACCCAAAATAACTATACCACGCGGACAAAGTCGCTGACGCAGCTAGTTATGAGTACATTACCAATTTAAGAGTAGAGATACAAGCTTGAATCAGTAATGGCGTTTTAAAAGTCTTATTATTGAATTAATAATCTTATATATATACCATGTAATGCAGTATATTTTCCACTAGAGCTTACAGCATTCGATTTCTCTTTCCACAAACAGCTCGATACCCCCTGGGAACCCTAGCACCTGTAGAAACGTGGAGGCACCTCCTTCCTCGTCTGTGTTCCCCAACGATTGTTTTGTTTTTACCACAGATAAAAAAAAATATTTTAAATGGATGGGTTTTGAGAACGCTTTTTACTCGTTAGAAGATAATAATTATACAAAATGTTTGATATCACTGTTTATTATCCTACATTTAACATTTTGAAAAGTGTTTTTAAACCTATAATAAGTAATGTACACTTCCAGTTATGCTACATAAATTAAGATGACTAGGATTTTGATGAAATTATTACTTACAAGTATTGTCTGTACTTTACGCAAATAGTACACATTCAAACGTTTTAAACTCGAAATATTTTACTAATATATTTCGAGTTTAAAGCCGTTAAAAGTGTTAAATAAGTGCTTATTTTAAATTTCCATACATTTAACATTTCTTCGTTTTATATGGCGTACAGCCTATCACATATTTATCCTAAAAATCTAAATTATCTTTTATTAATATTAGAAATAATTATTTTTACGAGGTTTTTGTTTTAGTTAATTTTTTTGTGATTATTACTTTAACATATTAAAGCATTATTCAAACTTAATTATTTAGTTTGAAAGGCGAGACTCAAATTTGCCTCAAAAGAATTCTAATATATATTTTCAATTGAATTAATTTAAAACATCTGAATAAAGATATTACTATTGTATCGCGACGAGCTGTTATCAGGTAATTGAACAAAGTATACTTCTTATCTTAATTCTTCTTTATCAAGAATATTATTAGAGCTGTTAAAAACTCTAGGATCCTCGGGTACCCAAATCTTTGCATGTAACGTCGCCCCGGGCGGCCGTTCTCCACGTCGAGACCAAGACAACGAATGTGATTGAAAATTACTACCTGAAAAGAATGGCTATATTATAATCATTCATAGAATTAGATACTACATATTTTATAAGTATTTTTTTCTATTGATAGCTGTATCGTGTTTACTCAAGTCTCTGTAGCACTCGACTAAACACGATGCCAAGCATAGCGTTAGACATGAGATGTTCTGGGTTCGAATCCGGAGGAAATATATGATACCTAATATTTGTACAGCCAATTTAGGCAATATGTTCAGTCGATTCTAGGCTAAGGAACGAGTCTATTAATAAAATTAAACAATGAAACCGTCACAACTGTGTCAGCGAGAAGTTCACAATTGAATTATTTATTGTTAATGTATTTTAAAAACAGGTGCCGCTAGCAGACTTTGATATTAAGGGCATTCTCCATCTTGTCAGTCCCCCGTGACCACGGCTGCCGCTAAACATTCGAAATGTCAATGTATAAATTAAGTTATCTTTTGCGTTTTAAACCGTTAAAAGTGTTTTATTTAAACACTGCCACTATACCCACAGCGAGTGTTACGCTCGATTAATTCATCTGTGTCCGCTAATAGCTAATCGAGAGCACTTAATTGTGTCTCAAATCCTCCACCCCCCGGTTAACGTAAGTTTTATTTATCCACAATTATTCTGAAGAGAGTATAAACAATCCTTGGGGGCTAACTAAACTTTCGCGAATGCGGCGTATAGGGTGATACCGGGGTGAATGCTTGGGGTGTCGCACGTGCGTAATGTTATGACCCTTAGAATCAGATAGGGTTCACATATGCCATTCGATTAAACATAGATAACATATAAATATTATAGAATTCCTATAAACACTTTTTTATATGTATCTAATAAATACCTATCTATATTAATATTATAAGGCTGAATAATTTTTCAATTCGAACCTATAGTTCCTGAGATTGGCGCATTCGTACAAACAAACTCTTCTGCTTATATATAGACATCAAAAAATACTAGAAATCAAAAAAAAACATTTCACGGAGAAAATGGTTTGTGTTTTCTATTTACACAATATTAATTTTATCATTTAATAAATTTTAACCTATATTAAATGTCGTTATCTTTTTCGAACTAGAGGCAACCCTATTTGTGTTCGATTCCACAAGTGCATTAATAACAGTTTAGACTATATTACAATAGATATAATGAGTATTTCCTGTGATTAGACCGCTTGTCGCGTATGCCATAAATTATTCATTCCAAAACTACCTCAATACAGAGAAATGAAAGTCGTATTTTTATTCACCAGAGTATTATATCACATTTGATTACGATAATTCTTTCCAGCGTATTTGGATAAAGCACCTAATTCCTCCTCAATTCTTAATATTTGGTTATATTTTCCGACATGTTCGCCACGCGCTGGACCGCCACATTTCACTTGACCAGCAGACATGCCAACGACGAGATCAGCTATAAATAAATCATCTGTATCTCCCCATCGGTCGCAAACAACGATACCGAAACCATTTGCCTTCAACAATTTAAACGCTTCAATTACTTCTGTTAGCGTGCCGGCTTGATTGATTCTCAGCGCGATTGTGTTCCCTGCTTTTTTCTCAACTGCCAAGCCAACTCTCCGAAGGTTGGTTTGAGTGAGGTCGTTTCCGAAAATCTGACTCTGCGTTCGAGCTGTTAAGGTAGACCAAGCCGCCCAATCGTCAAATTCAAAAGCGTCTTCCACGGAACAGACGGGGAATTCTTTCATATTATCCAAGTAAACTTCAGCCAATTTATCTGATGACATATATTCTTGTGGATTTGAATTTGGATTCTTAAATTCCAAATCATAAGCGCCATCCTTAAATAAATCTGTCGCCGCGGCATTTATTGCAATTTCCGCTTTGCCAACGAAGCCACATTGCTTGATAGCGTCGGTTAGAAAAAGAAGAGCATCTCTATGACTTTCCAACGGTATCGCAAAACCTCCTGAATCACTCACATACGTATTTTCCACAGAATATTTAGTTTTAATGACATTCTTTACGTATTGATATATTTCAGCACCGATTCGGACCGCTTCAGCGAAAGAAGATGCACCAGTTGGCATGATGATGTACTCTTGAAATGGTAGGCCATTGGATGAAAGAATGCCTCCTGTCAGGATAACAAAGTGCGGTACTGGCAATATAATACTTGTAACTCCAGCCATATCAGAAATGTGCCTGTATAAAGGCACACCTTTCTTAGCGCCACCAGCTTTAGCTACTACGAGTGATACCGCCATTATAGCATTAGCCCCAAGTCTTGACTTATTTTCCGTTCCATCAAGGGCAATCATAAACTGGTCTATCTCTTTCTGCATTGTGACTTCTAGATTTTGTTTTATCAGTTCCGGCGCAATTATTGTATTTATATTTTTTACAGCCGATGTTACACCCATGCCGTTGTACTCAGCTGGGTTGCCGTCACGGAGCTGTACAGCCTCAGCAATTTTCTTATAGTCAGTAGACGGTACACCGATGCGGAATAACCCAAGCTCTGTAACCATATCTACCTCTATCGTTGGTTTTCCAGTCGCATCAAGAATTTGCCTGGCGAGCAATATTTTTATAGGCATGTTTAGAAAACCGAAGTTAATAATAATCGTTTAATGAAAATGGATATTATAACAAAGAGATATTAAGACGTTATAACTGATAATAAGAAAACAAAATATATTTTACAATACTGTGTCAGTAAAGGACATCTATCAATAACTATTTCGATGCGTCATTCGTTAAAAAGTATTTAATCAACTCCGTATAGTTTTATATCATTATTATTTTTTATTAATAAACAAACTGCAGTGCTCGCGCGCACGTGCGCGATAATCTGTATGTAAATCCTACATTACATTTCGATAAGGTGTTTTTAGTAATTGAAAAAAAGATTATGCGGTGCGTACTTTGAGTGTGCACCCCTTCCTTTTTCAAACAATTTAGTGAAAACAAAAACACGTGAAATTGCTATTGAGTTAGATACATTTAAGTGAGAATTAATTTGCAGACGAAAAGTGTTCTTAAGTAAATTTGCTGAAGTATCATAGATACCTGAACCGTTTAATCCAGCTTTCCAGTAAACCACCCAAAACGCAGGAAAGTTAAAATAAATTTAAAAAAATATATTTCACGTTTTAAACGGGTTAAAGTATTTAATTTCTATATTTTAGTGATTTAATCGAGAAAAAAATTATCCACTCCTATGGTACCTGAGAATCATTACAATCTATTTATACCACTCTTATGCACAGGTTTTCTATCTTCTAGGAGATTTAAAAGATCCTCTATGGCCCTTTATTGTGTCGGGCCTTAATGAATTGAAACCTTTAATATTGTTCACAGCGTATTGCGAAAAAAATATATATGACTCGGGCAGAACTTGAATCGGTATCAACCTATGCTTCTAACACGATGAATAGAAGATGATAGAAGATTTTTTTTAATTCAAAATTCGACAATAGTTATTTGCAATCGTGTACATAATAAATAGTCAATAAACTATCGCGCTACTGCACTGGAATAAATAGGAATAAAGACAAAATGATTGTATGGGGTGTTGAGAACTTAATACTAATCTAATATACCCCGCCTGCCCACTTTGCAGGGGACAATGAAATTTGCTATGGCGTGATTCGCTAATGCACTTCATCTCACACCCTTGTTTACACTATTTCAATACGTAATTTTGTAATTTTCATTGTATCGTCAGCTGTACGAAACAAGAATCATTAACGACTATGGGTTGTATGACAAGTGTTTTGCAGAATATTAATACGTATAGTTTACGTGAATAGTACATAATTAATAAAATACTTTTAACGGTTTAAAACTCGCAATAATAGCAGCCGCAGTAACAAGGTTAAAAAAGGGTCATGGCCCTTTTTTAACCTTGTGAATGCCCACCAATTAGATACCTCGTAGCCACATTTGCTGCAAAAATTGAAAATACATTTACTAATATTTCCCGTTTTAAACAGTCAATAGTTTTTTTCTTCAATATATGTTACTGTTAAAGCAATAAAGAGAGAAAAAAAACAATAATGACAACTTATAATAATATTCCGTATCCAGTAAGATTCAAATTTCGAATTTTGATCGAGGTATATTTATTTATACAAAGCAAATAAAATCTAAGCAATTTTTTAATTAGAACATTTAGATTAAATTTATACGTTTAATTTGCAATGTGGGAGTTTACTATATTAATACGGTTCTACATCCCACGGATGATCACGCGATGTACCGTGGGAACCCCTCATGATGACACCTGGACCATTATGATCGAAACTTATCACACGCAATAACACTATCGTGGTTGTTATCAATGTAATAATGACCGAACGTTGGCCTACAAAATTCCTAGACAATTACTTAAACAAAATACCAAACATTTAACAGGAGATATAGACAGTGCGTAAGGAACGTAATTAAACAAAATTTTACGATTTTGTTTAATTACGATTATTTGATGTTTTTTTTTTCAGTAAAATAGCCTCTTCAACGGTTTTAAATGCGTTATTTTTTAATGTTTTACATCAGGATTTTACTTATTTATGTCTTTTGTTTATTAATTTTACTTATTAATGTTTTTTTATGTTAATAACTTAAGCAACACTCGTACCCCTCGGAAACCCATAATGATGAATAATTTTCCCCGTTTTTTTCTTCATATTACCCGTTGTTTCTTCGCTCCTATTAGTCACATCGATAAATGCTCTACTCAAGATAAAAATATTTTTTCAATTTGAACCATTAGTAGTTCTTGATTAACAAGTTCAAACAAACAAACTCATCAGCTTTATATATTAGTGTACATTGAAACTGGTACAGAAACGTAAGTGAAATAATTTTATGTTTATTTCATTATACTTTTTTAACACAAGCGAGATGTTTTGATATTTTGTCGAATAAATATCAAAACATCTCGCTTGTGTTGTCGCTCAGCTTCTGATGGGGCCACAGAATATCAGTGTTGGGACGTTAGTCCCAACTTAGATGACTGGACTGTTTTTCAGAGACAACTGTATATTTGTGTATTAAATTATATAATATAATAATAGTTACGATTGACCGCCTCTCCAGCCAAATGGTTAAACGTATTGCCTAGCATTGCGTTAAGCGCGAGAGGTCGCCACGTCAGAATAGCTCGCGGAAAGGTAGGTTTTTCCTAGTTACTTGACACTTAATGTCATATTTTGGACAGCTCACATTATATCTTTATAAATTGTAGCCTATGTGTTATTCTGATGTACAAGCTATATTATTGGAAAGTTTAATTGAAATCCATTCAGTTGTTTTTTGCGTGAAAGAGTAACAAACATCCATCCACACATACAAACTTTCACGTTTATAATATTAGTAGGATTCTAAGCAAGAGGTGAGGCGTAGGTTTTCATTTAGGGGTCGAAGGGCGTGTATTATCAAAAACAATTGAAGATCCAAAAGAGCGCATTAGTAACGCGGCAACCGCTATCGATCATCGAAAGGTGCATAAACAAATTGCATACACAGGGGTCGCGCCCTGCCACTGTTTGACCCGACAATGGAGTTCACACTTGCTTTCATGTGTGTCGATCCTACACACAGTTATTTACAGGCAAAGGCTACTCTCGCGCAGCAATGGTCATTGGAAAGTCTTAAAAGACAGATCATAATTACCTTGTAATAAAACACTTGATGGTTAAAATAAAGAAATATACTAGTTAAGCTTAAATCAAGATCTCAGATGTTTCGCAGCAGCCGTAGTCACGGGGGGACGAAGCGTCGGGCCGGAGTTAAAATGAGTTAACTATATATTCTACTTCTTTTTCGTTTTATTACGTTCTGAAAATTCTGGCTACTTCAAGACCAGAAAGTATTTACCAAATTAGTTATTACGAAAGAAATAAAATTACCTCGCACAATTACTTTCTTCTGTTCTTCTCTGTTGTGGCTGTTGCTGAGGCCCGACAACATGTTGTCTGTTGAATTTCTATCGGCGCGAACCTAGAAATTAGCTGGATTAAATATTATATAACGCGACAGAAGCCGCCGGCAATGCCTAACTCGATCTTTTTATTATGAAAGAGGACAGACATAGTTGGGTTTAACTTGACAGTGAGTGCATACTTCAGCCATATTATAACATCTAAACAAGATGTGCTATTGATCTATTTTGGCTTCGGAAGTCTACCTTCGTTACAACTTATTTAATATCACAATTTCCAGACGAAGTCCAACATGTTTCAAAAAAATTATAAATCGATTAGAAAAATGTGTGAGAATTGAATCTACAACCTGTTGATTATTAGCCAAACAGCTGCCTTTACAACAACAATTTCATTAAAGCGATTAATAAAGACCTAGTTTATAAGAAAATTACCGCCTCTGTAGCCAAATGGTTAAACGTATTGCGTTAAGCGCGAGAGGTTGGTTTCCAAACTCTAAGGAAACAAAAAAATTGTTTCGGTCGGGAAGGGCACAGAAGTCTGATCAACTTCTTGCCTAAAGAACGGATCAGAAACGGACACAAAATGTTCGCCCCATGCCCCACGATGGAGAAAGGGATTCCACTTAGTTACTTATTAAAAAATAAATACTGTGACGAGACTAAACTAACACTCCTTAAGAAATAATTTATGACCATAGCCATCAATAGATTTTTAAAGGTATGTTGTATTAAATACAATATGAACCGTTTAAATCAAAACGAAATATTTAATTCATATTTAACTTGAACCTTTGATATGCTACCGTCACGGGAGAACGTAAAAATTTACCAATACACTTCGCGTTTTAAGCCGTTAAAAGCGTTTTAAATAACGAGTACCAATCGCATAAACTACAGAGCATATAGTTCCGGTATATAGAGATTATAGACTCTATACTACCAACGCTTACCAGTTCTCCAAGGAAACTTATGTATCCAATCGCCAGTTTGAGGGTATCTACTTTAGATAGGCGTTTCTCGTATGGTAGCGTCGGTATGTGGGCACGAAGACCCTCAAATGCGTCATTGATAGACTGCATCCGTCTTCTCTCTCGTAGATTCGCCGCTTGACGTTGCTGGATTTGCTGTTGAGGACACCGGTTCCTTCGTTTATGGTGTCGTCTACACTCTGATCTATGGATAATACGAGTATAATTAGCTTCTAATGTATCAAGTCCTATTACTATTGTTGGCGCTGAGGATAATGGAAATAAAACTCCGCATCAACTCTATACTAATATTATAGAGCTGAAAAGTTTGTTTGGACGCGCGAATCTCAAGAACTACTTGTTCGAATTGAAAAAATATTTTTGTACTGGTTAGAGCATTTATCGGAGAAGATTTTAGGTTATATAACACCACACTGCAACCGATAGGAGCGAAGTAACAGCGGGATATGAGGATAAAACGGGGATATACTTCATCGCGTAGCGTGTTTTGTAAAAATGGTTCAAGAAATAAAAAATACGTATGAAAGAAAGATTGTCCGCGTTTATGTTATTACATAAAATTACATTTAAAAATCCTAATATAGTACTTCTGAATTTAAAATCACTGGCTGTTTATAAAGTAAGTGCGTCGAACAACGAATGGAATTGGCAAAACTTCTCGCCGTGTCTCTTTTTATCGCCATTTTATTCCACTGTAGTTTGCACGTCTAAAATACAAATCCTGTTCGTAGATCTTATTATGGCTTATACAAAACACCGTTTCACATTCAATTGGACATTAAGATTTCATTTAGAGAATTATTGTAAAATGTTTATTAAGATTTATATTTCTTATTATGTAGATTATAAACGCAAAGCATTGGGCATTGTTTTTAAATTAAATACATAAGTAGAAATGCGTACAGCAAACATAATTCCATTAACTGAGGAAAATACCTTCACAAACAATATCGATGATAATATTACGTATAATTATTAAGTGTTTTAATACTATACTGTATATCTATACTAATAATATAAAGTTGAAGAGTTCGTTTATTTGTTTGGCCGCGTTGATCTGAGAATCTACTGGTTCGAATTGAACTATTTGATTTGGGTTGGTTAAAGCCATCAAGAAAGCTTCAGGCTATAAAACATCACGCTGCAACAATTAAGAGTGAAGAAATGCTGGGAAATATGGAAAAACGAAAATTCTTATCTTTAAGGTTTTCCTTTACGTGCGCTGCAAAAGCGGTTCAAGATATCCAAAAAATATGTTTGAAAGAATGATTACTAAATACTGTCTATAGTTTACGCGAGTAGTACACATTTAAATAAAACACTTTAACGGTTTAAACGCGATATATTAGTTAAACTTATTTGGAAATGATTTTTAACTTCGGCCCGACGTTTCGGATGCTTTGCAGCAGCCGTCTCCCCGTGACCACGGCTAATATATCGCGTTTTAACCCGTTAAAGTGTTTTATTTAAAAGAATGATTCCTCTTTAAATGGTCCACGATAGATGTATATATTTTATGATTGGCTTGCAAGACTTGTGTCACACACACCGACGCGTCGCGGATGACGTCCCGTCGGTGTGTGCACACAGCTATAATTTATAAAGATGAGGAGGTTTACAAAAACGAATTTTAATGCTTAAAATAACTATTCTACGCGGATGAAGTCGCGTGCACAGCTAGCTATATATATCATCATTAATCAAGCGAGCTCAATCGCGTCGAGTAAATAAAAAAGTTAATTTACCGTTTCCGAGGAGTCGAATGATTTTCTTGATCACTCGCATATAGACTTCCATCAGACATCGACGAATCATCGTAAAGAAACATATCCGAATTGTTCCCGGATGTCGGACACCCGTCCATGTTTATAGGCATCACGCCGCTGTCTAAACACACACTTGGATGCGAATTATCCATATTGTAATGATAACTCTCATTTTAAATTTATTATCACTGCATTTGTATTGACGATGTTCTCTAATGGTACCATGGTATGAATGGTGCGACTTTTGAAACTGAAATGAGGTCCGGAGGGTTGTGAGAGGGTTGGCGACGTACTTCGGCCCCGCCCACGAATTTTCTTCCCGCCCACAGACCGATACAATAAATATAACTCATTTATTATAGTAATATACATTTGGTTTAGAAAAGTATTTTTTATGCAATAGTCTTGTAGAATTATTTGTTGCGTACTATTTATATTGGGTGGGTAGGGAAATTATCTTATCATTTTATATACATATTTGGTTATTTTGAGCGTCAAAAATAAACTTTGATTCCAATAACTAAGTATTAACATAACTTTAGAGAGTATAGCGTACAAACAAACTCTTCACTAAATAATATTAAAATTATTTTTTATAAAGTTAAAACAATAATAATTTTAAAACGAAAATAATTTAAGTGCCTGAATGTGGAAAGAATAAACGCCCCCCCCCAAATTTTTTTTTTTTTTTTTTTTTTTTTTTTTTTTTTTTTTTTTTTTTATATTAATGTTTTCAAGAGAAGTAATTACTTTTTGCGCGATATTTTTTCTAACAGACCAAGACCGTATTGTAGTCATAGGATATAATATGTTTTCCAGCTACGTCGTTATTCGTAAATAATATGCCATACTTGCTTTTTATATGGCATTACTTTAGAGGGTAACAGGGCGTCCAGAGAATACATCTGTGATATCAGAGTTGCCGGATTTAAAACTCTTAAACCAATTGTGCTTATGCGTATGCGTTGCGATGTACTATCCTTCCCCCCTTTTTTTTTTTTTTTTTTTTTTTTTTTTTCTATCTATGTAGACAACTAATATTTTTTGCGGCTTCTCTTGCGTTTCTAACATTCATTACATTTTATAAACTTTCTCATACGACTACGGACAAAATAGGTCAAATACAAGTGGTGGTATGTCAAGGGATTTTATTACAAGCTCTTACATACTACATGCGAAATTACTTTCTCCAACCTATCATACCTAACTACATACTACATTAATGTTGTTGTGTAAGGTTTAAAGTTTTTATTTAGATTTAGTACATATTGAGTAAGTTTGCTATGCCATAAAAAGGTAATAAAAATCTCGATACACATTTTACAACTTCACTTTTATTGTCCCATCGAATTGTTCAAAATGTATTCGCTTATACTAGTTACTTGTACATTGTAAGTCTTAAATGAAAAATAATGTTTTATTACACTATTGATTTTAAGAAAACTTCTGTTATTACATTTTTAGAGTACTGTACGATGAGGTACACGGCAAGGAAAAACTACCAAGATTCGTGGTTGAAGAAGGTGTAAAACCGTACGTACTACAGCAAGCGAACAATAAAAATATATGGAAAAATAAATAATAATAATAATTTATTTGTCAGACCATAGATCCATACATTAATTTAAAATCATTAATAATTAATTAATTCTAATGTGCGTTAGTTGGGTTAGTAACAATTTTTAACTTAAAATGTATATTAGAATGTGTTAGTCACTAAAAATACATATTTCGAAGAGCATATGAGGCTGCTAGAGGCAGAATGTCCTAATAACAAAAGACATGATATTCAATAAGGAAGAAAATAAAAATACACATTTAACTTAGGCGAAAATGAATTTGTACTATTATTTGTGTAAAAATTATATTAACAATTTTCGGTGACTCTTGTAGATTAACCTTTTTTAGACTATGAAAATATAAATAACTCAAATTATAAAATTGCAATTAACTCTGCCTCTAGCGGTCTAATATTAAGGCGACGGTCTCGTTCATCATCTGCTACTAGTAAAATGACATTATGGAACTTAATAGGTAAAACGAGAATCTACGTCTAAAAAACTTAATAATGAGAAATTTATTTTTCAGGGCTATATTCGGTTCCTACAGCTATAATCCTCTAACACAGACATTTGAAGTACGAGATACAGAATCTAGCAAGTCAAACGTATTGCAAATACAAATATTTAATAGGACTGCAACACAAACCCACATTTCTACATCTTCCGAACTACCTCAGCGGATGTTTAGGAAGCACGTAACGGGTAGCGTGCCCAAGTCTTCTAAGGTATTCAGTTGGCGTCCTGGCATACTAAGAACCAGGCTGAACAAGACGAAAATCTTCAATCCTAACTCGAATAGGAATGCGTCAAGCGTTTTCATAAAGAATAAATCGCTGATAAAAAAGAATAGTATAATATAAAGTTGTCATTGTATTTTTAATTGTTTATCATAATACCTTTTATGACCATGATAGTTCATGATAATTTCGGTCTATAGGTCAAGACTCCAGAACAGACATCTTTTGCCACACGGCAAATGTAGGAATTACGGCTTTTTTTTCAAGGTATTAAACCCCTTGTATGTTAAAAATGTAAAATTTAAATAATCTGCTTAAAGAATAATATATACTTTATCCATAGTTTCATTTTCTAAGTAAAGTAAATGTTTTTTTCGACCAAAGTCGTCTTTTGAAAATTCTAATATTTTTTTCTCCAACGTAAAATATAGCGTCTGTCTATTTCACTCATCGATATTATGGCCAGTTCTTTCCGGGTTTTGAACCCCTAAACGATCGTTAATAAACCTTTTCAAAAATAAAGATAAAATAATTTTGGATATTGTCCCCTCCCCAAAGCCGTCCTTTATTGCCACTGAAGCTAGCAGGGGTATTTTGAAATTAAACTCTTTCATATGTAAAAAAAAACTTTATTTACTTACTAAAAAAATCAATACAGTAACGCAATTATTAAATTGATTATCAAGATGAAGAAAAATATAAGAAGGAGTATTTTTGCTCTCATGATCCTGAAAAGAAGAGAAGCTTAAAATAAAAAAATCTTAGTTGGTTCCCGTTGGGTATATGCGTACAGATTATTATCATATATTACATTTTATATTTAGTTAGAAACAATAATTTAAAAATATCATAGTAAAGACACAAATTGATAATAAATCGTTCATCATTGTTAGAATTCTTAATGTAAAAATAAAATTAGGTGCGAGACATGATTGTAAATTGGTCTATGATAGAAAACAACTCTGGTACCTAATTTTATACAACATTCACGACAAGGAAATGGGCGAATTGGTCAGCCGCTGGTGTGCCAATAGAATATAATAATAATCAAATTCAACTAAATAGGGTCGGCTTCATTCCACTCACCATATATATTTAGAGCTCTTAAGTTGTTTCATTATGATCATAGTCTGGTGAGATGTTACTTCTATATCATTGGAGTTGTCGATCACAAAATCTGAATTTGCCACTTTTATTTCAAGAGGCATTTGACACCTAATTCGTGTTAAAGCACTTGACTCCCCTAACTCATCTCTGTTGCATAGTCTTTCTAACTGTTGTTTATCTTTGCTGAAATAAAAGCATTTACTATAATATGTGATAGATTTCACACTGGTTAAGCTGCATACACAACATACTGACAACACATAAGGTAATATCTCAACTCAAGCTTACACATACAGGCATGTACTTAAACCATAGACTTAAGGTGTACGTATATGTTATTATAACATATTATAAGGTATATAATAATAATTATGCCTATAACTTGACTACACTTATTTTAACTACAGCCCGATATTTCCGATGCTTTGCAGCAGGTGTAACTGGGACACTGTCTCATCCTGACTATGGCTGCGTGTTATTTAAAAGTTTCTATAATCAATAATATTAATATATTTCTAACCAAACAACTGTGATGATTTTGTGCATGAATAACATCATCTTTCCCGTCTCAAACAGCAGTGGTAACTCTAGGACAATGCAATCATGTCCCGAGAAGAAATATTTGGCTACCAGTATCATCATTTCCCATTGAATTTTAGGGTGTGTGATAGCATTCAGTTTCTTTCGCTTTTCTTTATTTTCAAATACTATTTCCCCTAACTTTCTTCTATTTATTGAACCACATTCATCTAGCACTTCTTCGCCAAAGTTTTCTATCACCTGATTCCATCCCTTGGTTCCTGGCAGCAACACTAAAATACATATTAATAAACACAGAATTACATTACATTACATTACTCTTGAAACATTTTTATAGATATAAAGGTTAATTGGTTATGGAAAAAGTTTCATTATAATTCTGTCTGATTATTTGCTGGTAAAGTATTCCTGTCTTATGGTTAGGTAGGCATAATATAATCTATAAAAAAAACAATACAGACATTTGTCTTTTCATAACTAGTACCATACACTTACCCTTCCTCGCAATTTGATCGGCATCAATAACTTTAATACCATGTTCACGAAATATCTTTAGAACTGTGCTCTTTCCAGTAGCCAATCCTCCTGTAAGCCCCACAATTAACATTCTCTTTCACTTTTAGCGTCCGCTAAGAGTAAACAGCAAATTAACTACTTCCAATACAACGTTATATTAATTGTTTAAGCACGTTACATTATTGTCCTACCTTACCTTTTTATATTTTTTTCCACTAACCAATACCTACATGATTTATTTGATATTTTGTAATTCTTTCAAATAAAATACTAGACGTCCAGTGTTGCCATACGCTCTAAATATTTTTATTATTAAGATTTGTACCTGACAAAATGTCATATTAATGAACATAATAATATGTAATTTGACATGTACGTTGTAGGGTGTCACAGTACCTAATTATTTTAATCCCTACTAATTTAATTATAAATGCGAAAGTAACTCTGTCTGTCTGTCTGTTACTCTTTCACGCTAAAACTACTAAACGGATTTGAATGAAATTTGGTACACAGATGGTCTAGACTCTAGACCCTGAGTAAGAACATAGGCATACTTTTTATTGCAAAGGGTTAAAAGGGGGGGGGGTGAATGTTTGTATGGAAATTCGTGGTTTTTGAAGCTAGAACAATGAAACTTTCTTCTTTGGCTTTTTGGGAATTGGAGTGGGAGTAAGAGTGATAGTTAGAGTGGAAGCGATGTGAGGTGAGAGTGTGGTGGAAAAGTAGCACTTACAACATATATTGGCTGCGATAAATACGCAATGACATAAATTAATAAACAGCCTAAATAATTAAAAATTCTACCCCAAGTCACTATTCCACGCGAACGAAGTCGCGGGCACAGCTAGTCTTATATAACTCAGAAAATCGGTAAATTCGCCATAAAAATGTAAAACGCTGATTAAATATTACGACACGGTCGGAACTGAAACCGGCATCGGCATCGGATTTTTAATTTATATAATGCTATCATGTGTAGGTACATGTAAAGAATATCAAGAGTTTACATATGAAAAGTTTCTATGAATTTACAAGACTTATTTAAAACAATTAAATTTCTATCATCATATCCTCGGTTTTATCGTTAAATAGTTATAATTTAACGAGAAAACCAAGTATTTTTTTATATTTGCGTATTAAAGAAATGTACAGTTAGTATTAATAAAGTGTGAAACAAAATAACAATGTAAGTTTTTCCTTCTTATTCATTGTAATTGTTATAACCGAGATATTTAGGTTGTTGATTAGGAAGATATGCCATTTTACATCAATGCAATGCTGTACCAATATATTTCTTCCCGAATTTATATGAATAATCTAAAATTAATGAATACTATCTCTTCTATCGTGCAACACTGTCGACAGATAATAGCAAAAGTGAGTAAAAATATTTTGATGATTTCGACATATAACCTAGATCAATGTCAAATTGGTATATCCTCAAGAATATCTATTCTGTAAGGGACAATTCCATTTCTTAATTTTTCTAAGAAGGTATATATGTATTTACTTAAATTTAGTTAAATTTAAAATTCATAAAGAGTGATGTTAAGTTTTGATGTGAAACAGCTGACTATGATGTTAGTGACATGTCAATTTGAATTTTTTCACGGATGTTTCAATCTACGCTGCTTATCTTAAATTTTTATGATATGATAAATGTAATATCCTTTATAAAATTTCTGCAGAAGTACTTTATTATTAAACTATCTTAAACACAACAAACTAACTTCTAAATTTTTTTATTAAATTTACTAGTTTTATTCTTTTTTGACATTTCAACCGTAGAATCGTAGTTCCTCAAATGTTGAATACTTTTGTTGCGTATGTAGGAATTTTCTTTGTTTCTTAAAACCTCGATTAATAATAAATATTTTTATAGCTGTCATTCTTCTGGTTTATTTTCGTCATTTGGTTTGTTCTCTATTTTTCTAAAACCTTCTGGTGATGTTCAAAAATTGTGTGTAATTGAGAGTTCCATTCAACAATTTGTTGTATTATTCTGACATACCTGTACAAAATTCAAAATTATTTTTTTAGAAAATTCTTTGTATTGTACACTACGTTTAATCACCTAATTTTCTGGGCCAAGAATGTGTGAATTGTAAATTATGTCTTTGTATAAAAATTAGACGTAGAAGTGTACGAAGTAGGCGAAGTGTTCGTATGTGATACAAAGAGCCAGTAAAGATGGCTCACTTTAGGCGTGATATTACGTATAGTGCATTAAACAACGAATTAGTTCCACCATTAGCAGCATCTGCTGAGAATACAAATGCTTCATCAACTGTGATATCGTTGGATCATGAGCACGACGATGCTACGAATGTTATAATACATAAAGTACCACAGACAAAGGGTGAGTGCTTGTTAGTTTTTCGTGGTATTTTTTATTATTTACGATATTAAAGATTATTATATTTTAGTAATACAGTTATTGAATAAGAAACATAATTAATGTTTCCTGTAGTTTACACCAGCAGTAACGCATTTAACGTTTTAAAACGTGAAAAATATTATTTTTTAAACTAAGCTATGACCCAACACTTCTGATGCTTTGCAAAAATGGTTTATTTAACAAAGAAAATTTTAAACTGTTAAATTAATTTGCAGGGGGATGGACACACATACAAGACTTAGATTCATTCTTTACAAGAATGTACAGATATTATGTCAGAGGTGGATTTTATCCAATGATTATGTCGGATATATTCTATTTGTTACAATTTATATTTATTGTTTGGTTTTCTACATTTCTGGTGCACTGTGTTGATTACCAGAAACTATTTAGAAACGATCCTACTATAAGTAGAAGTGATAAACTTAGCTTAAGCGATGTTATTTTATCAACATCAGAATGTCGCGCCTGTATATCTTGGCAATGGTGAGTTTGCTTCTATTCAATAGCGAATGTAATGGATGTTTTGTGTTTGCTTGTAACTGTATGTATGAAGAACCAATGAAGTCTACTGGCCAATTGGTCACATGCCTTGATGTTAATATGCATTGCGTTTAGAATAAAAGTTCTGACTTAAATCTTATAGTGGGGCAGGTGACAGAAGTCTGAACTTGGCTTGGATATTGATAAATCTAATTATTCAAATGGACCCAGAAATTCCCTTGGGCAAGCAAGATTGTAAATTGCACATGTATATAAAGATATATATTGTTACAAACATCCTTGTAATATAAAGTAACTTCAACAACTATTGTAAGAGTTTTTGGGTTTTAGAGATGTTTATCCTTCTTAATTGAGAGAAGGTTCTTTGTTTTGAAAGTAGCTTTGCAAAAAGGCAGTAAGAACCCTAAATGATTTATAACTTGTTACTTGCTGGTGCTTACTAAAATAAATTCTGTATTTCAGGTGGTGTTTAATTGTTTTGTGTTCAGTTATTTGGATTATGAGGTTGATTATATCAATTTATCATTTATACTATGCTTATGATACAAAACTATTTTACAACAATGCTCTGAGGATAAAAGAGGTATGTACTTATAAAAAATTATGGTTTATTCTATTCTATGTATTAAGAATAACAAGGACCTAAGCCTTTGCCAATACTTCTTTATTTCATGTCCTTTGTCAGATGTAAAATGAGTTATTATGCCCTGTTTCTGGGACTAAATCACACAGAAACATAATAAATATGAACAGATATAACACGAAAAATCAACCACTAACCAATAAATGTAACATCTTCTGTAATTATTATCTCTGTTCTCTAAATGAACACTGTGTGAACCAAATATTATGCTATATATGTGTCACAGCCCTCATGTAAATGACATGCGTAGGTGCTAGACTAGCAATCTACATCTCAAATATTCTAGGATACTTAGCCACGGTAGATCCATATGGACTTATTTTATTTTAGTTTAAATAACTTTTACCTCGGGCAGGGCTTGAACCCACATCCAAAGCAGTCCGTTTGTTGCTCTTCAAATTGATTCCAATACTTTTTGTGCATAAATGTTTTAGTTGTATATTTTTTCATTTCAGAGTGACTTGGCTTGGATAAATTGGACAACAATACAGGATAGAGTGAGAGAGGCTCAGCCAGAACATCACATGTGTGTTCAGAAGCAAGATATTAACGAACTAGACATTTATCACAGAATACTCAGGTATTGTATATTTGACACCTTTACAAGTGGTTAATCTATGCTTCTTTACAGACGTTTATTTATTAGATATTTTTGTGTTAAATAAAAATATCCTCTTTCTTTTAGGTTTAATAATTATATGGTGGCAATGGTTAATAAGAATTTGCTGCCTTTACAAGTACATGTGCCTTGTGTTGGAGATTTTCATTATTTATCAAGAGGATTGAAGTGGAATCTGGAGTTTCTCCTATTTTGTAAGTTTGGTCTTGCTTACCTCGTTGGCTACCAGCAGAAGATTTGAAGTTAAATATTGTGTTCCTGTTTTTAACATAAAAATCATTGTTTTTTGTCCCTACTTCACAAGTATGACAATTTAGTTATGATTATATGTTATGTTTGACAATTTAGGTGCAAACCTACAACCACAACATAGGCTATACTACTTTAAGTAATTGTTAATGTATAAATTGTTATATCAATTCTTCAGCTTTACTATATTAGTACAGCTAGCAAACTAGTGATGGACAATTTTGGCAGTTATAAAATAAATTAAAAAAAGCCTTCATTCCCTTTAAATTACTGCATTGTACATATTTTAACATAATAAAGTTAGAACAAGCTGGCATTGTTTGTACAATATTATTTTAAGATGATTGTAAAAAATATTAGGTCATTAGGAACGCCAGAGGGTGTAAGGGTCCACCGAAGTTGTCCAAACTTTTTGGACTAAAACTCTAGGGTAGTTCTATTAAATTGTAAACTTTTGCAGCTAGTCCATGGAGCCCTTGGGAGAACTGCTGGCAGCTTCGTTCAAACTACAAAGATCCCACAAAGCGAATGATACTCGCGAGACAACTGGAAAGACAGATATTATTACTGGCATTGGTTAATCTTGTGCTAGCACCGCTTATACAGGCCTGGCAGATATTGTATTTCTTCTTTAATTACGCCGAGGTATATAATCTTTGTTTTAATTTCAATGATAACGAAAATGTATGTATGTAAAGTCTCAAACTGTGTTGGTCTGATTATACAAGCACTACTTATCTTGAAATCTCTAGTATTTTAACTGAGTTATGGATTTTTTTTATTTGATACTTTGGTCCCATACAGACAAACTCGGGGTTCACTTGTTTAATGGTGAAATACCCCAGCCATATAACATCTAAGCAAGATGCGGTGTCGAGTTATTTTGACTTTGGATATTCGGAAATACAGGGACTGATATCGAACCACGATTAACTTGACGACTTTTTCATCTGCGGCACTGTCCACAGAGGAAAGAGTATTCATGACATGAATGGACTTTCGATATTCTTAGCTATTTAATATTCAGTTTTCTAGTCAAAGTTTTTTTTTTTTAATAATTTAATAAGTACATGTTTGTCTGGGTTGAGATCGAACCTATACGAAATGTTTATTAATCATGATTACTATTAGACTTTTAAATAAAACATTTTAACGGTTTAAAACGCGATATATTAGTTAAACTTATTTGAAAATGATTTTTATCTTCGGCCCGACGTTTCGGATGCTTTGCAACAGCCGTGGTCCCGGGGAGACTAAAGATGGAGGATGTCTGATGGATGGTCTTTAACTAATCTATCGCGTTTTAAACCGTTAAAGCGTTTTATTTAAATGTGTACTACTCGAGTAAACTATAGACAGTATTTACTATTACACTAATAAGCCATTGAAACTATTATTGTGAACATTCAATGTGATTGAAGTATGAAATGTATTTCCAGTTAATAAAGAGGTCGCCCGGTTCACTTGGTCTTCGGACCTGGTCTCTCTACGCTCGCATAACACTCCGGCACTTCAATGAGCTGGAACACGAATTAAGAGATCGCCTGAATCGTGCGCATAAACCAGCGACAAAATATCTGTCTAGTTTTAGTTCGCCCATCACGACTGTAATCGCTAAGTAAGTACTAAATACTTTCCAGCTTAGTGAAATTACCTTTTCCCCTATGAGATATGCGAACACATTTTTATGTCTGTTTCACTGATAGATTTATATATAAGCAAATAGTTTCAGGCAGTAATTGATCGTTTTTTCGTGATTCGAAAGTAGGACTTTTACTTGATAAGAACCATTGAGTTATGAAAATTGAAATCACGTTTTCCCTCGTAGCGCTAGGGGGCAAACACATTTCCGTGTCCGTTTCACTGGTCGGTTTTATTTACGGGCAATTTATTAATTAGACTTCTGTCTCCTACCTCACCGGAACAATGTATTATTTCCCGGAATTCGAACCCAGGACCTTATGCAATTCTAGGGAACACTTTTAACCGGAAAAGGAATCGAGTTATGTTTCCATGGCAACCGTAGCGATAATGTGCTTTATCTCTAGAATAAACTTGCGTGTTGGTACTACCAATAGATTATTTACTTACCAATACAAGTTATAATAAACAAAATACAAGGTTACAACCTAATTAGAACGAAACTCAATGTATTATCTGCAACTGCTTTGTTGGTTTAATGGTTACTGGCCTCGACTGCAAATCCGGGTTCATAAACTGTGTTAGGCAAATTTTTAGATTGGCGGTTAACAAAAAAATCTTCTTGAATTGACAAAGAAGGAGAATTAATTTAGATAGGTGATAAATAATCTAAATCTGTCCATAGGAACATAGTGTTTCTATCAGCCAGTGTCCTGGGGGTGCTGGTAGCTCTCTCCGTTTACGATGAGGACGTACTGACTGTGGAACACATCTTGACCATTATAACAATACTTGGCTGTGTTCTTGCTGGTGCAAGGTAAGATTAAGAACATTTATAAAAATATTTTTAGCTGGCAACAAATATTTTCTATTCTTTTTACACCATTTTAAAAAAGACCATCACAGTGTGTGAGATACGTAACGCGGTATCGTCTGTATCTTACGCTAGTAGTACCTACACATCTAAATAAAACAATTTTAACTGTTTAGAACGTTGAATTATTTTAACTACGACGAGACGTTTCGGATGCTTTGTAGTAGTAGCCACCGTTTATCTTACATAATTCGAGTTTTAAATCGTTAAAATGTGTATTATTTAAATGAAGATAATGTGCAACTACAACGAAAATTTTGTTCCAACCACCCGTTTTGTATATAGTTTGTAGCCGTTGAGTTGAGGCGTACAGTGTATAATCAGAAATTGGTCGTGGTAGAAATCGAACCAATAGTCTATCAAAAGTTTGTTTTTAAACGTTAAAATGATCAACGATTTGTACTTTTACATTTAGAACATAAATATTGATTTAATTTGAATTGTATTTTTTTAACATAATGTTTCAGAGCGCTGATAGGTGATGAGGAACACTTAGGTGGTGGATGTACTGGTCCGGCGCGAGGTGAAGAACTATTTGTTCAAGTGCTTGGGCACGTTCACTATCTGCCGGCCGCATGGCGAGGTCGGGCCCATACTAAAGATGTCGCTGCTCATTTCCAACAATTGTTCCAGTTTCGAGCGGTTAGTATATTAAGCCGCTAAAGACAGAGTAGCCTAACTGCAATTTTATGACTTGAGTTTTTTTTTATATTTTCATAGTCTATATCTAATGTTAATCTAGAGCCTAAGTTACTTCCGCATTTTTTGTTATTGACTCCCATGACTCCGTGACTCTCGACTGGTTCCAGGTCTTAGGTGGATCATAATTGAATATATCGATTTTATTTACAAATTATTATTACAGTAAAAAAATACCTTTTACTTGTATCTATTATTATCAAAATTAAATAAATGATTCTTGACTTGACCACGACTGTGTGACCCTTTCCTGGCGCCGCCTTTGACGTAGGTAATATTCATTCCCATGGACTGCCATATTCTTATCAATTGCAGGTTTACATATTATTTGAGCTTCTAAGCCCTTTGCTCTGTCCACTGGTGTTGTTATCGCTGCGCACGCGGGCTCTGGACATCGTGGACTTCTATAGGAACTTCACCGTTAGTGTCCTCGGTATTGGAGACGTTTGTTCCTTCGCTCAGGTAAGCTCGTATCGTAAACCCTTTGAAAGTTCTGCCTGTTGTGCTCGAACTCCAGCGACTTACCTCAAATGTCCCAGAGGTCTTTTTGATCAACCACAAAACTTATATTCCTAGGACATTACTTGCTCTTTCTGTACCATAGTGGAGGACAGACAAAAATGTGGTTCAGTTGATGGTAGATAAAATATCCCAGGTATATAACATCTAAACAAGATGCGCCGTCCACTCATTTTGGCTTTGGATATTTGGACATCCGAAACGAACGATATTCCTTCCACCTATTTTATATCCAGACGAGAAAAATGTTAACCCAGTGGAAATCGAACCCACGTCCCGTTGATAATTTCTTGAAAATTGCTATCTTTACACCAACGAGCCCGTCAACAGTTTCAGCGAAGGGCTTCAAATTTTGTAGTGCCTAAGCTGCAATCTAAGTCCCGACCTGTCGTTGAACAATGGTCACATCCACATTTTCTATGTAACATGCTTTTCTGCCTTTATTTTTATTTGAGCGTCTTAAATATAATGTATTAAATTATATTAATGTGCTTCATTCAAGTTTAAAACTACAACAATATTACCTATCTTATTTTAGTTGGATATAAGGCGGCATGGGCATCCGGACTGGCAGACGCAGCTGAAGTATGATAAATCGAAAGGTAACATTTTTATATAAGTACAAAAAACACTACGTTATCTGACTTCCATTTATAAGATAATGTAATAACAATTCGAAAATTGAATTTTAACTTTATTTAATTGCTTTACAGCAGTCATGGTCACGGCTTTAAACCGTTTAAATTGTTTTATTTTATTTGGAAACGTACGTGTTTCTTGTAGACACACATGGTGTTCAATCAATGTAAGGTTAAGTATTCTAGTCATATATAACATCTTAATAATTAAAAATATTTTGCTTTGGATATTCGAAAATCTACCACTGAAACAGAAATGCGACGTGGACGCGATCAGTACGGGATTTTTAATATTCTTACCACCGATTTTCGTTTTTTTTTATATTGGTCCCTACTCACGACCCGTTTATACTTGCTACCATCAGACCAATGAGCCTGTCATTCATGTTATTAAAAAAAATAAAGCTGAATAAGATGCTGAAACTGAGACCGCTTTAAGATGTAAAATATATTAAACTTATTACAAAATTCGCACGACGAGACTGCTGTCCGTCCGTGCTGTAAACCGTTAAAGTGTTTTCTTTATAAAAAATTTCGTATGTTTTTCTTTCAGGTGGAAACACTCAGTACAATCAGGGCGAAGGCGGTAAGACAGAATTGTCTTTGGTCGCGTTCTCATGTCGACATCCGGGCTGGCACCCAACGGAACCTGCGCAGAGGCAATTCCTTAGATCACTCCGCCAGAGTATGCATCATGCTCTGCCAACGAATAATGGCTTGGTAGGTAGATTAAAAAAATATACGTAGTTTACAAAAGAGACTTTGCTATCGTACTGAAAAATGGAGGGGTACATCACGAACCCACGAGCACAGCTTTATGTGTTGTTGCGCCTTCCGTGCAACTCTTGCGCAATAATATTGCTTTACTTTTATATCTATATACACTTGGGAATTGGATTGATTGATTTTGGAATTAGCGACTAAACTACTTGTTATATTTGTCCACAGAATAAAACGATGCTGGGTTCATATATACAGCAAAGTATATTTGGCGTGAATACTCCGTTACCAGCAGTGCTGTCCTACTATCAGCAACATAAAACCCAATATAGATTACCGGTAAGTAAATTTAAAAATTACGCCTTGATCAACATCAATTAAAGAAAGATATAACGCCCCATGCCCCATGTAGGGGAAACTATATGAACGAAAATAGAGTGTTTGTTAATATATCTTAGATCCAATGTTCCTTATACCGTAGGTTTTTCGATTTTAACGGTTTTAAACGCAAAATATATTAACGTAGTTATAATTTATTTTAACTACGCTCCCTCGATTCGAATGGTTTGCCGTGCGCGGATCACGGATGCAGCAGCCGTGCCCACGGTAACGTTAACTAATATTTTTCGCGTTTTAAACCGTTAAAAGTGTTTTATGTAAATGTGTACTACTTGCGTAAAGTACAGACTATAGTTAATAATATACTTACCTGTACATTAAATCGTTATGTCCCATGCCCCAAAAAATCGGCATATCGGTTAACGTATAACAAACTATACGTATCAAATTCTTTGTCTGTGTTGGGGAAAGGGGGCAACGTTTGTTAACACTCACCGCAGTGTGCCTCTATTTTTTATATATTTTCAGGATATGGACGAAACAAGCGATGAAGAGGAAGGTCCAAGTCAGTCCGCAAAGGGTTCGGTTGGTCTCGCAGGCGCCAGCAGTGCCCTGGGAGCCAGTGCCCTTGGCCTTGACCCATCAGCCCAGTTACCTCCTGATGAAGCGCGCGACATGTCAGTGAGCACGCTACACCTGTACGACTTGCACCTCTCCCAGGTGGGTTATCTATACTAGTATACAAAGCAGAAGAGTTTGTGTGTTTATTATTTTAACTACTAGCTACTACTAGCTACTGACTAGCTGTGCCAGCGAATTCGTCCGCGTTGTGTATTTTTTTTGGTATTAAAATCTGTTTTTGCAAACCTACTTATCTGTTACCCAAGACGATGGTTACGTCCCGTTGTTGTTGCGAGTTGATTTTACAAAATAGGCTTATAATGGTCGCGGACATTTTTTTAGATCAAATAACAGGAATCATTATTTTTTAAATACGTTTGGGAATGTTGAACTGTATTCGTTGATGTCTTATTGTTTAAAGCCTTCCTCAATAAAAGCACTAACCAACACTGACATAAGCGCGTTTAATCAAACTCTGCAGCTTCATATATTGATGTATGAGTTTTACAAACTTTGAACTGGTTACGCAGCGCGCAATACGTATTTCTTGTAAAGTATTTACCGTAATTGAAATAAAAAAAATAAATAAAAGATAACAAACATATATTGCGTTTTAAACCGTTAAAAGGGTTTTATTTAAATATTATGTACTAGTTGTTAACTACAGACAATATTATGAAGAGTATCTGCTGGTTTACATACATTATCTTTTTCATTATTTTTAGCATTTGACGATTCATTTCGACATAGAAGTACCCAAAAGATGAAATGTGGTATAGCGTTTGTTTCTGACAAATATGCCGTCAGAGTGCCTCTTTCCCTTATTTAAAAAATCTCTTAGAATATTAGTTAAGATGTGTTATATATCCCAAGTTTTGTAGAGAAATTTTATTTATAGGTGTTGAATTGAATTTCAGGGTGGAGGGAATGTATCATGTTGTACGAACAATTGTAGCGAGCGGCGGACGAGGTGGGCAAGCGGCGAGGAGACTCCCCTCCTACGTCCATAACGATGGTGTTCACCACCCCTCGATAAACATCCCGTTTGGGTTTAGCTCCTGGATACACACGCTGTCTTGTCGGTACAGTATGACGCTAAGCAATGATAAGATGCGGATAGTCTTCAATTCAAAAGGGCTTCGCCTTAAGGCCAGAGTTAAAAAAAAGCTATATGTGACCTGGCCTTAACTCTACTTTGCATATCTAAACTTTTAATATTAACTTAACGAAATTCGGTTATTGTTTACTTATAATTATATTTTAGTGAATAATAACATCGTTCTGATATTATAAAAAAATAATTTCTTTTTAAGTGCTAAGAATTTGAATAGTGCTAAGTTAAAAAAACCATAAGTGATACCAAATCTTTGTTCGTGTAAGCGCGCTATCCTTTTCTATCACTCTATTAAAGAAAGGAAGAGAGGTATAGAGTGTAATGAGTTGTGTTAGATCACTTTCGATCTAGCTTGGCATAGGTAACAACCTATACCAAGCTTAAATTTAACACTTAATTACAAAAACATAGCCTCAATAAAAAGTAAACAAAGTCAAACGAAATAGATTATTACTTTTAAAAGTTTTAAATCCATCTGTAAGTTAAACAAATCCATAAGTTCTTTATGTAGAATTGTAATTAGCTTAGCTTTAAGTGCAGCACGAGCAAGTTGCAAACGAGAAGAGTTGGATTAGGTGTGTTAGGCAGATCCGTGTATCCAAGACGCTATTCATTGTTTTACATTTATTCCGAATCTATTAAAAGGTATCAAAATGTAACAATGATGTAATATCGAGGGGTTTTATGTAAGTTGACGTTTAGTTTGTGATATTTCCTTTTGTAAATTAGTGGTTAAGTTTGACATCTCGTGTTGAGCCCTTTTTTTGACGAGTTGATCCAATGACGGCGATTCAAGTGGGCGTACCCACGTACTGGTTGAAACAGGGGGGGGGGGGATTTTACATACAAACTTGTATGGTGAATTCTGGACCCCCCCCCCCTGTTCTTAAATCAATGCATGATAAATAGTAACAAGCAAGGTGGGTTCATGGCGTGCACACGGACGTTTCGGTCTCATTCTGTAGCTATCCGAACGTCCAAAGCCGTAATAAGCCGTCACCACATCTTGGTCAGGTGTCATTTCCCTATCCATAAAATTGAACCCCTTGTCTGTTATCTGTAATAGGAAAATATTTTGTATAACGGCAACTCTATAATATCGTAAGCGTTAGCAATCACGTCTGAAGTCATAAGCGCACATAATATAATTTAGGTCTTAGTATTAAAAAAACGGATAGTGAGTGATTTTGTAAATATACACAAAATATTTTGTACAAAATTATACACACGTCTTGCGTGACGTTAGATTATTACGACATAATGTTTAAGGAGTATCATCCATAATTTAGACTATTTGGGTTTTTAACTGCTCGGTCGTAATTGAGAAATGGTTCTTGACATTTCGACATAACGAGGATATGCCCATTTTTCGACTGAGCAAAGATCAGTCTCAGTTTCAGCGGCCGAACAGAAGAAAACCCAAGTAAGTTCACAAAATGGCCGCAAAAGCCTTCTAAAACCCATAATGTTGTATTTTAATGCTATTTGAATTTGTAGTATTAAACTTGATATAAATTAGTCTTTCGACATCAATTCAACGTTTCGACATAAACAATTGAAGCACTATTTTACAAAAAAAAAACGAATAAATAGTGAGATTATAACCTATCTAATATTGTATTTGAATTATGATCGCGTGCCTTCAGAGATGTTCTATATATAATTGAAATATGCATAAAATTACAAAGACAAAAGTGTATTTTCTTGTATGCAGTGCTTCAATTCAAACCAACGAAAGTGTTCATGAAAAAAATTGATTCATATATATCAAAAAGGGGATATACCCATATATACTTTGTCTTTTTCCCGATTTTCAAATCATATTAATATCGTGTAAGGAAGTACTCTTTCATATTTCTACTGTACGTTTGGGCCTAAAACGGGCATTTCCCCAATATTACACCTGGCATAATATATCTCTATGCAATTTCGGGAAGATTTTAAAAATGGTGGTCATCAACGTGGTTCACCGTCTTCTTTATATATTTTTGTATTATAAACTTTAATACGTTTTAAAATTTAATAGTGAACGAGCGTTTGATGACCACTATTAATTGTGAAAATAATAATTAGCTCATATTATTAATTAGTACAGTAATGATCTCTCATTTCAATATTGAAGCACATTTTATCTCCTATTCCTAGAATAAGATTGTTGAAAGATCTACATAACAATTGTATGCGCTAGATTCAAATTGCTATTAGTAGAGCTCCGATTATCCGGATTCGGACAATTGAAAATTCGGAATTGCATATAGAGTGTGGAAAAGGTGCAGTGACACATAAAAGTTAATTAAGTTTAACAAACATAATACAAAACTATCCTTGTTTCACTTCTAGATTTGACACCAGCGAATAAAACAGCGAGGTTAGCTTGTATGTACCGTTGTGGCATCTTGTTTGTACTGAAAAAATTTCAGTTACGCTTCAAACCGATTCGGATAATAGTCAAATCGGTTAACCGGCATTCGGTTAATTGTTGTTCTACTATTATTTTTAATACCTTATAATATACGGTTCGTGACTCGCTGCTTATATAAGCGCCTAAAACGATATACATATTCAATGTATTTTTATATCAGTCGATAGTACCTGCTGAATATTTTGCGATATTAAGGCTTCCGCACACGCGACATTTTTCGTAAATTTCTCGCCTTAACCATTTGAGAATTGTTTCTAATACGCTGTGTAATGTAGTGCATATAATGAAAAACTGTAATTCGTATTAAATCCCAAGTATAGTGGAATCGATTTAGGCTTTGTACCTAATAACTAAGAGGCCAAATACAATTAACGAAAAAAAAAAACGGTTTTGCTAGAACCAGTTGAACATACGTAAACTCTTTCTTTCCGGTGTGACGTCCCATGTACCTAAATATATCTCCTACATATTCCAAGTAGTGACGTCACGAAGTTGACGGAATTAACCACCTTCATATAATAACGTCGACTTAAGGGGTGACGTAATGACCAAATGAATGTTTTTATGTTTCTATATTTAACGTGTATTTTTATGATCATTTTTAAAACATTTCGTATTTACAGTAAGTAACATGGAGAATTATTAAAAACAACTGTAGATGGTGGTCGTGTGTGTAAGACCGAAATTTTAATTAACGGCTTCCGTGTCGTCATAGTAATAAAAAGATGTTTTCTACGGTATATTTGTCTAGCTCACTCCAATTCTAAATCACATTAGTGTGATAAAGAAGTCTATTAATCAACTACTTTCGTTAACGAGTAGAAATTTTTATCTGAATTATGTAACAATTTATTTGTGATCTGGAGTGATATTATTGTATTTTTTTTTATGTTTCGTCAGTGTGTTACGCGAGTAGCAAACATCAAAGAGATAATTTGAACCGCTTAATACATTAGGTCACTGATTGTTTCAAATGATTTGAGACGTCGGGTCGTAAACATAAGTCAAGCAATATATATAGCGTTCTTATTTACGCTATAATAAAGAAAAGACACATCAACCGCCAGAGAAAACAGTTGAATCAGATTTAGTTGCGTAAATTATTTAAAAATGTAATAATCGAATCTACTTTGGATTAATTTTAGTTATTCAAATCCATAGCGATATCAACTTAAAACAATTATCAATTACTATAATCAACATTGACAAAGATATTGTACTAAAAACCACGACTATAAATATTTTATCTATCAAACATAGTTTTAAAACGTAAGTTAACTATCAAGAATAGTTTTATAAGGACTAGCCTTATAAAACTATTCTTGATATATTATCGTGATAGATACGATTTTTCCATCTGTTATACAGAAGATACTAATCACGTTGGCTGCGTTATTTTGACCAATCGTTTCTTTTAAAACTGTATAAGCTTAATTTGACAGATAACAGATCCTATTTAGACTGTTTTACCTCAAAATAAAACTTGATCTTATTAATTATTAATGTGCGATAATAGTGACTCCATTGTAATATCCAATTAATATAATCTATTTACATTTTATGTACTGCGTGTTCTTAACGTACCTATTAAAATTTATCGGTTTAAAACGCGAAATATATTAGTTAATCTATTTTAACTACAATCATTCGCAACCGCTATTAAGCACTCTTAACATGGAGTTGCAAGAGAAAATAGTTTTTAGTATATATTTCGCGTTTGTAACCGTTAAAAGTGTCTTATTTCCGTAATTTTGGCCAAATCACAAAGCCATATACTTAAACGATATCAGTGAATTATGTAGTTGTCTCGACTGTACCATATTCAATGCGAAAACTGTGTTTCCTCAGAATCTTCATAAGTGCCTGCTTAATGACATTTTTACAGCTAAACGTAGTTACTGCATTCTATGCATATATTTAACACACTTCCATATTATTGCTTACTAGGCGTTTTTCCTGCAAATAAAAATGATATCTACAAAAACATCAACCTGGAAGTAACCTTTTTTCTAGCGGTTGTATGTCTCTCGTTATATTAAAGCGCTTTGTGTAAACAATTGTAATGGACAAAAACGTTAAGTTTCTTAACTCCTGTATCGAGAAATGTTTGCAATCTATGAGTTGTCATATCGAGGTATAATAGTTGCGGACCTCTGACTCAAATTTAACCAAATTTGTATATAGTTAGTTCAATTTAAGATTAAGCTTGTTTAAGTATATTGTGATATATTAGTGATGAAGGACTTAAATTTGTTGTATGTTTTAAGTAAAATCACCTTTAATCAGAAATTGGACGAGATGTTGCAAACAGTGGGCTGAGTACTGACTGCACGTATGTTAATTGTGCTACATTTGGTCAGTACCCAGCTTAATTATTAACGGCATAATAATGTTTGTGCAAAAGTTGAAGCTCTCATTGTCATTGACAAGTTTGTAAAGCCAAATTCATGGAAAAGTTATTGATTTGGTTGGACGATTTTTCATATTTTGATACAAGGGGATAAGATTTTTTAATATTACAACGCCAATAGTGGATAAGTAGCTTTTCATTATAGCTATATGAATAAACGATTAAAATATACTAACTGACTTTTATTAGGGACTAGCTGACCTGGTAAAAGTCCCTGTGCTGAGTTGGTCGCCTTCAGGAGGAAGAAAATTTATTAAAATAGACAACACCAAAGAATATGTTAGTGTCGAGGACAATTAAACTGTCATAAAATCCAACAGAAAAAAGAACTGTTACCATTTATTAATATCGACCAAAAATAAGAGTAAAATTACGGTTTCAGGAGCTTCATTTAAAATTTTTACTTATTTTGTTTATAATTATAATGTAATTATTTGTCGTGATAGCCAACAGAAATTGTAAAAAAAATATTTCTTGAGATACTGCGTGGTAACGGACTAACGGACGGATAAAGAACAACGTCTTAGTCATAAGGTTCCGTAATACCCTTACAGAAATGGACGTTAAAACGTTAGGAAGCATACAGCAAAAATTGGCACTGAAATAGTCAAAGCAAACACCCACTTTGTATGTCCTGACTGCAAAGAGTGTAAGGAAACGAACATCCATCTACTCCCTGAATATATACTATGATATTGAAGATGGAACAAATAATATGATTTTCAAAAGAAACTGGCAGCTTTAAGGGGGGTACAGCGAGAGTTCTATAATCCAATGTCCTCTGTAAAGGGGAAAGGCAGCAAATGTGGACTGTTTAACAACATTAATATTTTTCACATGTTATTGCACATGATGGCACTATATAAACTAAAAATCTATAGCTCAATTGGTTAGAGCAACAGCACGGGATGCTGTGGATGCCGGTTCAAGCCCTGCCTGTGTCGTACATTTATTTCAATTCATAATCGATTTTTTATTTAAATGTGGAATGATGCCAGGTGATCATTTTTATGTCGGTATTCCCAATACAAAATAATAGTGTCAAAAGATGTCTTTAGTTTTTCGTATTAGCGACTCAGTCCTTCACTTAATATATATTGTAGCAATTAAAATGAAGAAATAGTAATATAACAAGTTTATATGTGTCACAAGTATGAGCTGACTAAATTCAAATACCAGTGAGAAGATGATCGAGCAAGTTGGTCTCGAAGCGGAACGGAATGTCCTTGACGTTTATTGCGATAATATTTAGCTCTGATTGTCGTGTACGTCTGTCTGTTTCGTTAGTATTTTGTTCTCATCTCGCGATTATCGATTCGTATCGATTTTATTTACACACAAGAAGGCGAGAAGCGTTCTGTGTTGTATAATTTATCTTATAACTTATTCCTGTTACGTTTGGCTAAATTGTTTGTTTAGGCGCAAATAGACCCGTTATAATTGGGTTATCTGAAAACTAATGATAATAATAGAGTCTAGAGTCTTTATTAAAAATTCATTTAAAGGAACTTTGTCGATCTTTTTTTTATTTCTGTGGCTTTTGTGCACAAAAGTAATTTTAACTGTGTGTAGTCTGTAAGCTCAAAAACTATGAGCGATGTCTGTATACTTCTGGGAAAACAACATAGTATGATTGAAAAAAATAATCCTTAGTTGGTTGATACTTCACTATATACACAGGTGTGTGTTATACAGTAATTGGGGTGGATTTTCAAAACGTAAATCTGAGTTTATAAACAAATAGGCTTGGATAAAATTACTAGTTTAAATAGATACTTGTCATAAATTCTATGCTGTTATTATTGATATTAAAATAGCATATTCAATAATTTCCGCATTGTAATCGAAAGCTTATTAAATAAAACACTATAAACGGTTTTAAAAGCCTTCGTTGACTGAGATTCCCTAGGGTTAAAAAATATCACTTTTATATGTTACTTACTGCAAAAGATAAAAAAAGAAGGGCTGTTACATGCTAATGCCATTTTTTACTTAGATTTTGCTGTCTATCTGAATTAACGCCATCTAGTAAAGTAAATGTAAATTAATATGTACTTTTATTATGACTTAGGAACTCGTACGAACACTGACGATTTTTTCATCTATTTCGTTATTTAATCATAATGCAGTGAAATGTCGTTTCCCCCCGTGGGGCTTGAGACGAAAAATTTTTCCGTTCTCGTGCTTGATTTTCTATATAATTGCTAAAGCTAAAGATTGATGGTACCTAGAATAAACATTAACACCCCAACGTGTTAAGGAAAAATTTATGTTATTGTTGCTGGACTTTTGCGTTCTGAATATTTTTAATGAAATTAATACCTGGTAATAGCAATGCGCTTCGTAACTTTTATATTACTCATCGTTCAAGTTATGACCAAGGTTGGAACAGAACAATAATTTTCATACTTACTAAGCTAATTTTAATATGGCGTCTACACATTTTTCTACAATATATTTATTCATTTATTTTTAAACTGCAACCATTTGAAATTGATAAATACTTAAGCTACGTGCCAACAAAATTTATATGCCATACGGCCTTAGTAGAACTACAGTGAGCGTTGAAGTCTTTTGTACTGAGAACAATAATTAAAGTTTATTTGTTGCAGCAAATGTCCTACTGTAACATGTCTGCTCTCACGTAAGAAAATGGTTTAAAAGCCACCCAGATGGACCCACCATAGAGTCACAGTGTGGTTTGATAGTGGCTTCTACCAATAAATCAGTAATGACAACCGGGATTGACTGAACACTGTCTCCGAATCACGCCAGTGAAATCACCAAATACTTCCAAATTTAAGATAGTGTTAGAAATTTGATATGATCCTGAAAACGAACCTCGGACCTTGTGATCTGTAGTCGAGTCTTTTAACGACTGGATCGACAGGGCTGTTATGAGCTGATACAAACCACGATCGTTTATTTAAAAAAAAAATATTTTAACTCTTATGAAAACAGTTATATTATTGCGTTATTAATAAAATGTATTTGTTGTTTTTTACCTTTGTGTATGTCGACGTTTGTCTATTATCCCACCTAAGGATTAGCAGTGACGCAGGCTAAGTTTGTACATCACGATGGCCTAATAATAGTCTATTTACGTATGACGATTCGCATATTAAAAATTATACAAAATATTTAGTATAACAACGTTGAAATGTCGATATTTTAAATATTTTTTAACCATAAAGAAGGGGAAAACTAGACAACCTTTAAAAACTTATAGTCACTTATAGATTCTAGATTCCTATAGGTATTTCACCATGTATAATCTAAGTTAGTAAGATGATATAAAATAGGATATCATTGGGTCAAAGCCAGTTTGCAAGTGTTGCAGTAGGCCACGGACAAGATGCTAGCACATATTCCTACTATCAAATGTCAGTTTGATATAGAAATACGTATATATTATGCTTTTGGCATTCTCGCTGGTACAATGATAGCATTTTATGAGTAATAAACGAGACGTGGATGCGATTTTTACCAAAAGTATTAATATTTTGTATAATACGGCAATGATTTAAAATAGGATGGAATATCTGCAATTTTCCAACGTGACAAACCACTATCGAATTGAAAAAGTTCCAAAGTATAATCGCGTTTCGGTTTCAGTGGATATCCAAATGTCCAAGTAGGTCAACAACACATCTTTAGATATTATTTATTGGTATCTTTATATATTTACCATTGATAGAACATATAACTATCTGTCTCCCTCAAAAAAAATATTGTCTCTAAAAATGGCGGTTTCCATTCATCGACATTGGGACTTAACGCCAATATTCGGTTGTCTCATACTTAGTACAGAATAAAATGAAAGCGGTTTCTTATCATAATGGCTTTTCGATATATTATTGTCAGGCATCTTTACTAATAGGATTATAGTCATCAGTTAACGTCATATTGGCAGAAGGAATATGACGCAATATGGTAGACGTAGGGGGATTGTTGAGGTCTCCAGTCGGCTCCTACAATTACTAGCACCACTGAAACTCAATATTTTAAATAAAGTGCGGGTTCGAAATTTGAAGTAACTCTTTTTGGGCGGGCAAGGATGAGAAAATAGCTTGCACATGAATGTGACTTAAAGTCCCTACTAAAACGGGGTCTTACTCTTCACCCTTATTTACCAGGATGGTAGGTCCTGGTGTGGTGAGGGTGCAGCCGTGTGGGCGCTCGGCTATAAGTAAGAGGCGCGCGCGCTGCCGCGAGGTTAGTCGCCGTCGGCAGTGTGTCGCCAGCGGTGTTATTCCGCTCCGAAGCCCCGGTGCGTTCTCCCACTATCCCTACGCACTCGCCTTTCTCACACGACCGGCGATCTGCGCTTGCGCAATCCACTTCAAAACCGAAAGGTCGCCGCTATTGGCATTTGAACGCTCTCTGACATTAACGTTGCATGCCATGCAGCTTCCTCATTGAGCGTCTTTGTCGCAACTGTGTGTCGTTTGGGAAAGGCGTCCGCTGACGCTGGTTTCTGTTGCAGACCAAGAGTTAAGGACTGCGCACGTTGCACGCACTGCACCGCACCCCACGCGAGACATGGACCTACGGATAGCGCTGTAAGTACCCGCATCGAGTATCTAACCGTACTTAACACCGAAATCGATAACGGCCATTTCGTAATCGATTATGTCGCAATACTATTTTTATTCGATCACTTTCTAATCTTTACCTCATATAGCATAATAAAGGCGCGTCAACAATTCCATTTGAATACATTAAGATGACAACTCGTTTTTTTTTAATATAAATGATAGCTCTATTCGTTTCTTATTTTAATTTATACGCTTTTAGCACTTTGGAACCTGTTATTGAAATGTCACTTTCATATCGCATTTGCTTAGGATCTCTCTCGAGGCGTGATTTACGTAACTATGGGGATAGGAGTCGACTCGTCTCACAACCGATACCGCGAAAATATGATCTGATTTCTTATGTGGAAATGGTTAAGCAACCAGCTTAGCAGCACTCAGCTGACATCGCGAATGAGGGCGAATGTCTCAATAAAGGCTATGAAATGTTGGTTTTAAAATATGCACGACTGCGCGTACATTGTCTACCCGAGAGCGGCAAAAGCTCGACAGATAACCGTCAACGATTTTAACCGCACGACAGCGCACATCGCTAAGTACTTGCGAGTTATAACGAACTTTCGTAGAAAGACCGCTATTAGAATTTTCCTATCTGAGGAAAGTTTCGTATGTTTACCGCAACTATTCATTATTGCTTGCGTTAGATGTTATTGCGGAGATTAATATTACTCAGTATAGTATAAATATTAATTAAATTATTTAAATATTTAAATATTAATTATAAATATTAATTAAATATTAATTAAATTTTTAAATTGTAATGTTTTTGGATGATTTGCTGTAAAAGACAGTCTATAGTTTACGCGAGTAGTACACATTTAAATAAAACACTTTAACGGCTTAAAACGCGATATATTAGTTAAACTTATTTGAAAATGATTTTTAACTTCGGCCCGACGTTTCGGATGCTTTGCAGCTGCCGTGGTCACGGGGAGACTGCTTTGCTGTAGTCATGGTCACAAAAGTTGAGAAAAATGTTAACACATTTCTTGTTTTCACCTATAAACGTGCTTTTTTATTTTTTCAATCTATTATCATTAAAACTTATACTCAATAATAGTAAAAGAACTATCCTCTTTTTTAATATAAATACTTATTTTAAGTTTATATAAAAAAAACTAAATCTCTTTATGTACGATGTTAAATACTTAAGATTAGTAATACTTAAGATAAGACAACTGTGCATACGCCAAACAATGGATGAAAATTCTTTTTGAATCAAATGACAAAATATTTATAATATTTACAATGTAGCTGTAACTTTTACGACATTGACGCTAAATAGAGGTTTGCAATACTATTACTAGTGTTATAATATCGTGAATCGCGTTTTTCAAGGATGTAGGTATCAAATATAATAAACCAATTTAACAACACAAGGTTTAATATTATAAATGTAGACTACATTTACTAAATAAGTATAATTAATACTTCGAAATCAATTTCTAAAACAGGAAAATGTTTTCTTTTAAATTTTTAAATTTAGAAGAGCGCGGGAAATAAGTCTTTTTATTATATGTCTTTATTTTATTAAGAAGAATGCAGCCAAGAAGTTTTCATATGCCAACGATATATATTCTGTGTTCTTAATTTCATTCAACACCTACTTAGCATGCACACAGCAAACTAATTTTCCTGTGCGGATGTTTGTATCTGATGTTTAAAAATACCGGGAATGTTACAATACTGATATTATAAAGACAATTGATATGATATGAAATTGAATTACTTCAATTTCATATAGATAATTCAGTAGAAATAAATTAATACGAACAGCACTTTTAAAATGAAAGTAACTTCTTAAATGTGTGTTTTAGTGAATGTTCAAGATCATAATTTAATTTAAGTGTTTTTTTCTTAATGTAAATTAAAAGAAACAGGTTTAATTATTCTTAATTCAAAATTTCGTGTAATAAAAGAAAGTATTAAAACAAAAGACCGCTTCCGTGGTACAGTACAGTGTGCAAACTAATAAGCAATGTGTCTCGGTCGGACAGCGCAAAGAATTCTAATCAACAACTTGCTTAATAAACAAAAAAAAGCAGACAGAAATCTGCTCACACGCATCGTAATATAAAAATGGTTCTAATCGTCCCATAGTTAGACGCAAATCACCTTTTTTTAAGGGGATACGGTTTAGGAGCTTAGATCCTTGCTCCAGTGCTGGGTTGCTTCAACAAATAAGACCACTAAATAAGTTATGATAACCAGGATCGATGGCTTACCGTACTGTCTGGGGCGCGACGCTCTAGCCATCTTTTTCCAAAGTCCTGGTTCATTTTTAGGAAACAAATTTTCAAATACCATATTAACGTAAAATATATGTTACATTACATTTGCTCGCTTGGTTTACGAGCTGTTCAGTAATTGAGAAGTTGCTTTTGCCATCAGTATTATCATCTGCGCAGGCTTCGATCCCTGGGCGTCACGTAGATTTACTAATCACGCCAACGAGCCGGTTAACAAACGTAATCCGCTTAATAATTACTTATAGGCAAAATTTGTTCAACTCTCACGACACTTAAGCGATTTGGTCACACTATTTCATGCGTTCGTATTGTTACAATTGTTTCACTTTCGCCATCGGAAAGAAAACTAAGTGTTTTGTCATCGCATATACGTAATTCGACTTTGTGAATACAAAATAGTAAATATATTGAAATCTCTCCATTTGGGCATTACGTGAAAAAGAAAGTTTCCAGTTGGGATTTTCTTCACTTGCCGCGGTGTAACAGTTGTTATAAGGATTTTTTGTTTATCGATTCTTTGTTGCGAGGTCAAAACGTGTAGAATGGGGTGTCTTTATGAATATAGCAAACGAGCGATCTCTACCAACCAATGTTTGATAAAAGTTTTGTTCTAAATGCGCGAAACAAATGAATACATTTTACAACAATTATCACAAAGAGTTTAGTGAAATTAGTTAGTTAGTTTAGAGTATTTTAAATTTGAAATTTATCATTCCTATAATTCATATAAATTAAAAGACATACCTACTTGTTTAAAAAACTTATTTTATATTGTTTTGCGCCTATGAAACATTATTTACGAGTTGTCGTAATAAAAAAAACATAAACTTGTCTAACGTTTTTTTAATTATATAGATAAATCTGCAGTTTACCATTAGCGAAAGAGCAAAAATGACAAACGACAAGAGGCAAAGGTGTTTAAAAATCGAAGATGCGCAAGCGCACACGCCTTGTTATATCACGGCGCATTCCACAAAAGGTCATCGGCAGTAAAGTGAAACTGGTCGATGCCGAAATTGACGCTCAATCGCGAACACACATAAATAACCGAGAATAACTCTGACGTCGCACGGGACTCGAACCCGGACGCTGCACGTTTAATGTCACTGATGCAACAGACTTAATCCAATGTTAGTGTCTTATGACACGTAGTCTTTTCTCCTCGAGTGATGCGTTGTTGATGAAACGCGGTGATATAATATTCTTTGCGCAAATATTGTTTGTGGTTACTAGCTTTACCAACTCTGAAATATCACTCCGACTTAATTCTATTCACAATCACTTAGGCTCAATCGTTAACTGCCTAGCACTGACGCGAGAGGTCCTGAGTTTGTACTTGAGTTGACAGGCAATTAGGAAGGGCATAGAAGGGCAGGTCATTTAAAATGTCTGTAAATGAATGGCTGCAAAATGTATCTCACTTTTAACTTAATCTTACTTTATCAATTATAAACTTTGTTTTAATTATAATATTCTTCCCTGGAATACGCAAGAATTAAGCATTAGTTTCCATCGCGTAAATGTAACATACCCCGCAGGATGAATAAAAACACACCGGTTCAAATTTATTTTAACTTTTAACTTAATTTATTTTTAAAACGATTTCGTCAGTTTAAAACACGTAATATAAATGACATTAAATTGTTTATTATAATCCCGCATTGCGGATCGTTTGCAGCAACCCGTCGTGGCCTTGCTAGGTAAGTTGTAGAGTTAAAATTCGTTAAACGTGTTTTAGTTATAAATAATAGATATAACTTTATTGTTATAATTTATTAAATATCCCACGTCAAACCGCAGGGTGTTTCTAGTATGTAGGACGTAATATTGTATGGCTCAACGACCTTTTGTTACAATTTAATTACACTCCAATGAGGTGCATTGTTTCTGTTTCAAGTCGTCGCGTAAGACATCAACAATACAAATAAATGTCAATTTAAAGCTATGTTTAAATGTTTTTTTTTTATATATAAAATAAGATAATATCGTTGAGAATACCGTTTCGCCGTAGCGACCTAACCACGATAACTATGCGGTTGCAGATTTTTAACCTTCGCTCTTTAAATAACAATACTGTTGTTAAATTATTTTTTTTTTATAATTAACCCACTTTTAAATGTTCAAAATGCAAAATATATAAAAATAAGTTAACAACTAACTTATTTTTAATATTTGTATCTGTCGTTAAATTACTTAACCAATATTTTTCACGTTTCAAAGCGTTAAAAGTGTATATAAATACGTACTATTTATACCTGTTATTGATGGCTTAACCAACGCTCCTGCCTCCAGCATTAGAAAAAATTCAAATATCGAAATAACAATTTATTCTAATTCCAGAGTTCGAATTTTGAACTTCTTACTGTGTCTTAAGCTGAGTGGTCTCTCCACATACATCTATTACTATTTATGTAATTGTATTTTTGTATTTTTTTTTTTAAGTTTTTGTGCATGTAGATTAAATGATTTGATTTATCTATTAATCAGAAGACTTCATGATGAAATGGCACTGCGAAAGGAGTGTCATAATAATTTCTTCCACACTGTCACATGTGAACGCTAAACACTCATTTACTGTGATCGATACGTACCGCTGGCAACCCGGTAGTTGGCGTCAATTGATTATTCTTTCATAATTCGAGAAAGTTGAAATATATGAAGCATAACTCTGGGAAGAATTCACATCAAATCGCTTTAACTAAGAGACTCAAGGAATTA